TTACTTATTAAGATAGAAAACATTTTGTTTCGCCAATACGTACATATACTACTTAAGAAGAAAGATGAGTTTAATTACACAAACAACTCTTTTTTGTTTTCGAACAGTAATTATTTCGGCATACAAAGTTGTCAATGAAACTAACCAATTTTCTGATCCATTCTACTGAAAAATATTTAGATATTAATTGCTAATTTCAATCAGAAAATTGTTTTTGAAAAGATCTAAGAGAAGAGATTTGAATAGAATGGCATGAACTCAACTTATATCATTTGACTATTAGGAGTTACTTTGAAGAAACATCAGTATAGTATAATAAATGTATAAACCAATTATCAAATTTGTAGTTTATAAGAACATATTGATTTCGAAGTCAGTCAGTCAGCCAGTCAGTCAGTACCAACGTAGAACTTCGTACGTACGTACATCAGTTCGAGTTGCCACACCACATTAGCACAGAGATGCAGTTGTCGATTCAAATCCCGTAGTGGTAGAGGTAGCAAGAGTATAAGCAGTAATCAGGAAGATTAGGGTTTGGAGATGTTATTTAAAGGGTATAATACAGTGAAATAAATTTGGAAAGAGGAAAAAAGGGACATGAAGAATTCAGAAGATTAAAATTTAGGAGAACACAAAAAGTGTATGCACCTGCGCCATTGCAAACGATTTTGAGCCATGTCATTCAGAGTCTCTAACGCCATTAACTTATATCTCTTTTTAAAGTACATCCTGATGATGATGTTTGAGAAGATAATAAAAGTTTCATGACTAAGCCATCTAGTTTAGAGAAATCCATACCTCTAAAATGTTTTATAAGTATATATATATATATATATATATATATCCCCAGCACCTCTAGGTTTTATCTCCTAATTCCTGAAGCAATTTGGAAGACTCGCCCGGTTTCCCACAGTGTACAAGTATTCCATGTACCTAGATAAATGGTTGCTCTGGTTGTCAGTAGGGGCATCGGCCTCGTGACTTCCGAAGGAGCTCGCTTTTCACCATGAGGCGTCATAACTCTTCTAAGTGGAAGACCTAACTTCCAGGGCAGAGTTTAAAAAATTTGAATAATTTTTTCTGGTAAGCGTTTTTTAGCGAGTTAGTTTTCTACGGGATGGAGTCGCTAACCCCATGCCCAACCCTCCTGCTTTATGCGGGCTTAGGACAGGCAGTAGCCCCCGGAGAGACTCCAGGCGAAGTTATATATATATATATATATATATATATATATATGTATATACTCACGGCGCCATACATTTACCTTTGGTTTAGAAATATACATCACACCACAGACTAAACAGTGTTCAAATATTCCGATTAAAGAGTGAATTCTCAAATAAATAAACTAGTTAACACCAATGTGGGTAATAAGACATGCGTGATTTTCATGTAGAAAACCTTAGATTCTGTTTTACCAACACGGGATAGTATCAGAAATGAAACAAGTTTCAGCATATACATGTTATTAAAACTGATACCTTAAAAATTATGAGACGTTTAATTCTAATGAAAGGTAAATTCAGTATTCTAACTCCATGTTCTTCTAAATTGTCTAATATATTGCTGGAAATATCCTTGAAATCATATATGTTTTATTTAATAACAGTAATCCGTACCTTTTGAACATTTAAACCAAGTTCAGATTTAACGATCAAAATGATGTGGTTACTGAGTTAATGATATTGATTCACTCGACAATTTACAATTACTTTATACAGAATAATTTTGATGGAGTTATCATATTATAAGCTCAAAAGTTTATATTTGTTAGTTTACCATTGCTTTAATGAAGCTATTAACATTAATTAGAAAAATATCAGTAAAAAAGTTTTTGTTGTTTTCCAGTTATTGGAAAATGCGAATATTTATTAATAATGACTGAATGTGTTTTTCGGTATCATGCCTTTTCTATATTTGTATCAAAGGAGTTTTTGTGGATATTATAGTAATTTTAATAGTTGAGATCATGAGTCAATTGAAGCTAGACCATCATGGAAAACCTGGAACCGCTAGACGGCCGTTTCGTCCTATTGTGGTAGTTCTCAGCATTGCGAACATACGATCCCGCCTCACTAGATTCGAACCCAGAACCTATCAGTCTCGCGCGCGAGCGCTTAACCACTAGACCACTGAGCCGGCATCCAAGTGTGTTAATATGTTAATGTTGTTAATTTGCCTATACTGGTTGCATGAGAAAAACCGCCATACTTAATTCATTGTAGATGTGATGTTCTTCGTGATAAATTAGTTAGTTGGATTAAAATGACTTTTGTGGAACTATTCATTACTTGCCACTTTTTAACGAACCACTACCGTCTAGTGTAAAATATTGAATACCATAGTTTACATTATGGACTCACCTTGTTTAAATAACCAGTGAAAACCAGACATATATATAAATTTACAACTCTAGCAGGTATTGATTTCAGAACACTCAGACCACATGACCATCGCTTTACTTTCAGATTACTGATATAGAATTACTAAAGTCTAACAATCCACAATATTGCTTAACTTTCATCCATTCTTGTTGGTGATATTTGTCTCACAACTGATATGATTGTTCTCTTGATTTATTGTTAGATTAATTACGGTTTAACCTTGAATTTTTCTCAATATTCTAGAACTGTTACTTAGATTTTTTGCAGAAAGTTTATTGATACATTTTTGTAAATCAAAACTTTACTAGGATTTAGTATTCTAAACGCTATATTAACCAATGACAAAATGTTCATGTCTTAAATTTTAAACTATCTTTAGAACTTTAGGGAAATAAAACAGTTGACTTCTATGTAGCTATGAAGAGAACAAGCAATAATACAGTGCTGTCATTTCATTCTTCAAATACACACCTTTACATTTTGTCTTTATGTACTATGTTCTCAATGTTTAGTCTTTCAAATTCTCGTTGCTCATGTGATTATTTCAACTCCTTTACTATCCATTCTGTTAATTACATCTAGTCGTGCTACTATAGTTTGACAACTTGAGTTAATACATATTTATCTCACTCTCTAAATTGATCATAATAATGTCTAATACTTATGTTGGTAGATATGAGTAGTATGTAGCAGCAATCGGGAGTAGAATGCCTGCCATCAGAAGATTGAATTGAAGAGAACAGAGATGGAATCAAAGAACAATTGGAATAACGACTGATTTTAAGGAATTTTGAAGTATGTAACGGACAAATGAAAGATGTGCAGATAATCCATTAAATGTACGTTTTTCGCATTTTATGAAAGCTTATGATTTTCCGTTCACTACAATATGAAATGTCAAGATGCTAATTACCACAATAAACTTTTAATAATAAAACATATTATAAATGGAGAATTATGTTTTAAGAGTACAAAGGGAAGATATACATTTTAGGTTGCTACTAAATGTTTTGTCATATAATTTGAATTTCTAACATTATATCAGGTTGAATTTAAGAAATAAGTAATAAATATGAAAAATATATCTGTAACAGTTTGTATCATTTTGTAGTTAGTGTTTCAGAATGCATTTCACCTGTCAGTGTTGTCTCCACCATTGAGACTCAGACGCACTCAAATGTAGAGACTTAGCTCTTTGACCTGGTTACTGGCCGTGATCTAAAAGTAGGGTTGAAGATATATATTTTACTTGTAAGGGTTATTAATTTCTTATTCTTTACAGAATAATGATTCTCAAAACAAGCTACTTGCTACCTGGAGTCAATAGCTCATTGAATGTACTGAGTTAGAGTATGAGTATGAGCATAAATATTCGGATAAAACTGCATCAAGCTAATGAGCCACAGATAGCACCAAACGTTTGTGTTCAATTTCATTGCCAGTCATTAACCAACTCGAATTAGAAATGTATTGTTTGTACCTCTTATATACAATAAAATTGGTTATCATTTAATTTGACGAGATCAGTCACTTCTTTACATCTTAATTCTCAAATTTTAAAAGAAGGCTAGTGAAGATTTTGTAATGTCTATCTTTTTCTCTAAAATCAAGTTTTGTATGTACTTTGAATGTCATGTGGAAATAAACCATAGGTATTCAGTAAATAAATGGCAATCCATTATTACTATTACCATTATTATTATTATTATTATTATTATTATTATTCAGCATCAATTCATTTACAGTTTACCAATAAAAATGAAACTGGAAACTATCGCATGATGTTTGATTAGATGTTTTAACGACTATAAAAAATAAAGAAAACTCGGATATGTGCTCAGACAAAAAATATAAAAGAAAAATTACCATGGCTAAATGCTAAAAACTTTTTTTAAAGATGAATAATCTAAATTACAAATTGCATGTTATATTAGTTCCTATCATTTTAGTAAGTTGTTGTATTGTTTAATGATAATAACGTTTTGTTCTAAGGTGGCAATACTGATGTTTAAGAAAGAGCAATTTATTGAATAATCATACTTGTTACAATCTTATATTATTGTCTTTTACGGTTTGTATTTATTTAATGTTTATATTATTTAATGGTTTAATTTATGAGTGGATCTAAGCTAGACTACCATTGAAAACCTAGAACCACTGAATGAACGTTTCGTCCTTGTATGAGATTCCTCAGCAGTGCGCATCCACAATCACGCACACGAGACTCAAGCCCAGGACCTTAAGCTTCTCACGCGAACGTTTAAACTCTAGACCGCTAACCGCCTAACGGTGATAATGTCTAACTTTAATCAATCCATGACCTTGTACAAACTCTATCTATTGTCTAAGCTGGATAACTGTTTCCATCCGACTCGGATAAGTCTCCAGGTTCACTATAGTGGTCTAGCGTACAGCGACTCATAAAATTAACTATTAAAATCACTACAATCTCCACAAATCTCCATTCTCATATCATTTACTCCTTGTATTTCGAGAAAAAAAATATTATCTTACATGAAAATTAATTATTTAACAACAATCATAATAATACAAAAATAGACTTTGTTTTTTGATTATCAATTTGCAGGTCATACAAAAAATATATTACTCAAATATATGGATGAGAATATTTCAAATCCAATTATATTAATTCCTGGTCTAGGAGGAGCTCAAGCTTATTGTCAACTAAAACAACCAAAATCTAATGAATTCCCAATATGGCTTAATCTATTTTATATGATGATTCCGGAAAAATTACGACATTATTTCGGGTAATTTAATTATTAAATCAAATTATTCTTTATTTACCAATAGTTTATATCTTAATCCGATTACACTGAATAGTGAAAATACTGACACATGTAATGTTATATTCCCTGGTTGGGGTGATACACACACAATTGAATATTTACAGACGAATGGTTTTCGTTTTTTTAATTATTTTGGTCGCCTTGTGAATTCATTGTTACAGAATAAATTTTTCGTTAAAAACTTTACACTTCGTGGTGCTCCATATGATTTTCGTAGATTACCATGTAAGTGCTTATCTAATCGAAGATTTATTCTCATTCATTCTGAGTATTGCACATTGTCCTATGAAATAAAATTACAAACTGGAGATGTTTACTATCACAACTGAATAGTCCACTTATTAAAATGTTGAGACATAATCAAATAGCAGATCCTGAACAAATAAACTTGATAAACAGTTAACTTGTTAATTATAGTGCAGTGAATGTTTATAAACTATCAGAAATAAATATTTTATTTCGCAGTTCATGTCCATTTTTTTACCAGCCTTAAAACTAGAAACGTCATCTCTTGACTTTATTACCTCAGGGGATTAAACTATGGAAATTCATAGTTTATAATGAACACATTCAACTAATAAACTCGGAACTAGCGTACACATTCCCGATTTTAATAATAACAAAAACACTATATTATAATATTTCCTATATAATCTCTTTGAAAGTTTCTCACTAGTTAACAATGACATTTTCAAAGGAAATCAAAATAGGAAAGCATGGTTTATTGAATTTCTTAAGAAGTGAATAATGATGAGCAACCAACTGTATATATATAATTAAAGTGTTTTTTTCAATTTTTATTCACCATTATTAGTTAAATTCATTTTAAATTAATCCCCAAGTGTATCATATTACTTAATGACAAACATACAAGTAAATAAAAGGATGTATGTACGTAATGAATGAGAAGTCAGGTGGATACAAACAATTTATTGATCAATACAAAGTTACAGAATATCTTGGTTAAATATGAGAACCATACATTAAATAGTTCATTTGCAAAACTTCCATGGATTATCATTCATATTGTATACGATTCTTTCATACCGCGCTTCTGTTCTACTTCTCTTTTTGTTTTCTTCGATTCGATCTTGTTAGCCTTCTGCTACTATGTATTCCATTTCTGACTAGTGCTACATACTACTTATATCTGTTAACATAAGTAGCATACACCACCTGTGTACCAGTTACATAATTTTAATTTGTCATATTTTAAATCAATAACAGAATTCTTACAATTTTTCACTTATGTAGAATAAACAATATCGTAACACATAAGTTTACTCAGTTATAAGATTCATTATAGCACCATCTATGAACTTTTCCCGTTCTGTCTGATATTAATTTTATCATTTTGATGCGATAATTTAAACTAACCAAGTAGACAATATTGTAATTATTGTAATTAGATGAACAAAAATAATAGTCGGTATTTAAGTATTCAAGATTAATCTTATAAATAGTTCCCACTTTTATCAATTAATTAAGATAATAAACGAAAGAAGAATATATCATCCATATATATCTATTTATTAAAAGTGTAAAAAACATTAGATGGTGGTTGGAGGTAGTCAACAGGAAACCCTGGACCCGAATTTCTGCTACTTGACACTCGTCCGCAAGGTGTACCTGTAATCTTGAGGGAACTGGTGCTCCCTGGAGGATTCGTTCCCGTGTCACACAGATTCACAGTCCGAGACGTTACCACTGAGCTATCCTGGCCGCGACTGACCTCCTGTAGGACAGAGATGTAATCACAATTGATTGATCACTGTGTGGTGAACAATGTCATGTGTGTCAAGCCCTTATTTAGTGTAGATCGAATGCTACCGACCATGTTGCAATGTGGACAACAGTCTAGGTGACTCGACATTGCGGGCACTATATATTGAAACAATATACAACAATTGTATGAGAATAATGACAGTTTAAGTGAATGCAGGAATGAATCTACCGATGTTTTACAACTTATAAATTAGGTTTTTTTCTAAGTACATTATAATATTATTCTCTTTTATAAATGAAATAGTAACATTTTTAAAAACTACTTAACAATGTAGTTCACTAAATTTAATAGTTGAATTCATGAGTGAATTGAAGCTAGACCACCATGGAAGCACTGAACGGCCGTTTCGTACTAGTATGGGACTCCTCAGCAGTGCTCATCCACGAACCAGGTTTACCATGGTGGTCTAACTTTAATTGACTCATGAGTTCAACTATTAAATCACTAAAATATCCACAAACCCCTCTCGAATAACTAAAATGTTTTTTTATGAAATTTGATTTTGTTTTGCAAAATAAAATAAAACCATTGCTAGATGAAAATACCGATTTTATGAATAAATTAAAATTATTGGTTGAAGAGACCTACACAAATGCTAATCGACGACCGGTGGTTTTACTTGGTCATAGTATGGGTTCACTGTATACGCTAAATTTTCTTAATAAACAAACAAAATCATGGAAAAAGAAATATATAAAATCATATATATCAGTGTCTGCACCATTTGGTGGAGCTGTCAAAGCGTTGTTAAGCGTGATAACTGGTAAGTTAATTATTAATTAAAATTGAATGGTCAATTTCATGAATAAATTTGTCTTATTTTTACAAACTATAACCACTCATTTTAAGCGAACATGAATGGCTGATGACAATGAAATTTAGGATCCTCTACTGATCCTATTTAGGACTCTTCAGCTGGAAATATCCGAAACTTACATTTGATATTCACTCTGGGACCTAGATCCATAACCGTTCGCTTCAAACCTGTGATCCAGGTACATCCATCTGACGAGTCCCTATTGCACTACTAGCCGCCATCTATCTCTGCTTAAAATGCTTATGATTTACCGGTAATATCGAGGCAGTTCGCATAGGATGCACATATACCAAAAGAGATTGATCAATAGTAGCCCAACACACCAATGGAGGGATCTAAACAGTCAATATATACAGATTATAATCACTTTTATTTTGGAACATTTTTCAACTGTAGCCAACAAAGAATTGAGATACTTAGTCCTGGAAGCAAAAATCGAAGAACATCTGTAAATGCATGATACCAGTTAGGAAAATTCTCTGTTGTCTTATTACACTTATTGTCTGTATATTAGCACTCACTATGTAACAATATCTTCTCGATAATTACTGTAGATTTCAATTACACAAACTTATTGAAAGTATTTTGACGGAGACCAGTCATTCTGAAGCCATTAACTAGTATTTTCATTAAGAACAAATAATTATAATTAAATATCAGTCATGAAAATTTCGAATCCTAAATAAAAATGAAAATATGTTTATTGAAGCCAAGTGGAAATTAACAAATTTTTAAAATAAGGACTGGCAATGTTGATTTTTCATGATAATAACAGAAAAGGTAATATATGCATGCGGAATGCCAATCTACAGCGGAACTGCCGATTAGATTGCACAAGTTTTCGAACTGCTGTCAGTTAGTGATGATAGTATCATTTAAATTATTATTATTATAATCTTTAAATATATGAAACTAATTCACTATGTAACACCTATGAGCTCATAATTGACAAAAATCATATTTCAATAAGATCAAATGGAATGATGAAAAAGATTCATAACTCAAATTGATGCCTTTTTTGGTGTTGTGTTCTCCAAGCAAGGTTAGTCTAATTTAGATGATCTAACAGTCGTTTCGGATAATATCAACAGCGTTAAAAAACAATTAATGTTCATTAATTAAACCATCCACCTAGGAGGACAGAATATAGCCGAAATGTTAAGTACAAGCCATGGAATATAAGTGAACTAATAATTTGTCAGGAATACTGGATTATAGATCACACATTACCTTGAATCAAATGCTGTAGTAAAAGTGTATAACTGGATCCAAACCAGATGACTTCATAGTATGAAGCTCGTAGTAAAACCTAGAGTTTATAGTATTCATGCCATAACTTAAACACGACAAAGTTGATGAGAACGACCAAAAACTAACCCCAGGTTTTTTAAGAACGATCAGTCTATTACATAAAAATAGAGATTGCGTGAAAGTCTTGCACTCTCAATAAGTCAAACAAAAAGATCTCAGTTCAAAAGTAAATAAATGAATTCAACAATAAAAGTGTAGATATACAGAATGAATACATTTGAATTGGCGAGATCGATTTTCTTTGTTGTATAACCTCATTAGATGTTTGTGTCTGCTGTCATACTTTGCTTATATCAGCTTGTGATATAAAATGACTGAATATATAAAACATTTAACCAAATATTATTTTGTAAAAACATGTTACTGATTCTTTAAAATCTAACATGCAAATACATGTTAGTGATATGTTTGTCTGTAGCGCTATGATATACAAAACGGAATTTATATTAAAGGTTAATTATTGATCATATTCAGTTAAGAGATCGAAATCACAACCACCATTGAATGATAATCGACTTGCAATACATTAAAATTGCATTCGGAATTCTGGGGGACTGAATCCCAACTCTGTTTAAAAGATCAAACTTGGCATTCCAAGATGCGTCTTGAATAAACATTATTAAGGATGAAGTTGCTGCCAATGTTCTTTAATTTTCACTGGTTATCTAACGTAAGGCTATGCCAAGAAGTCTACTCTTAAAATGAATTGAAGCATCAGTCAAGACCACTAAGCTCTTTTTCTGCAACCATACAATTCCAAATAATTAAGAGTTGGCAACAAAACGGTTTGATATATCCAACCAGACCTATCTTTTTTACGTCAGAAAGACATCAGGACTGACTACTAATGTTGCAAGAACAATGAAATATAATAACTTAGCCAACACAAAATGTTTCTACTTACATCCTGACCTAATATGATAGGAAGGCCTGACTCGTAAGAATGTGAAACTTTACCAGACAATGCAAACATCGTCCAAGAAAACTTATAATTTAACTGGATCAAGTGTATTGACGTGATATGTACGGTACGTGGTATATACAAAGATAAAATAATCATAATTGTAAAAAATGATGTATATTATCTCTTTTTAAATCTGAATGGATCAAGACATTTCATTTATAATGTTATGAATAGATGGTTTTGTAAGCGACTTAGTCAAGTTATGTTTGACAGAATGCTAATCAAAACAAATAGTTGATATGAATAATGAAAATTAATGTCGTGGTGAGTCTATAATTCATGGATGACCTTTGAGTGACGCCAGACTGACCTTGAGAATGTCTGCCTAATAACCAGGACGAAATGAAGATTATAAACCTGTGTAAAAAATTATGATTCACAGTTGATGGTTAAGGTTAGGATTTTCATGACGAACTGACATCAGTTACAATGCCATGAATCTATTTAGCCAAATGGATGAGTGAATTTCGCGCCAAACTTCGAGACCTGTTATCTTATACCTGATTGATTCGTCCATAAATTATAGTCTCGTCAATATCGTTTATGGTAACAATGCTCAGCGATCAGCATAATCAACTGTGGTAAATCTCAAGAAAAAGCTTTCAATGTAAGTTGATATTTACAATAGAAACCAGATACTGTAAAATCTTCATTTTAATTATAATAAAATTCATATGGATCAAGGATGTCATTCAATGAAATCGATTCTGAAAAATTAAAGTATTTAAAATAGCTCTTTTTGACAATATTATTTTTCTTTGTCTTTTTCTATACAAAATCAGATCATTCCTCTCGCCTCACTTATTACCCCCGCCCCATCGTACAAATTTGGTTGATCTATTAATCAGAATATTTCACAAAATTCTTGTACAGTAAATTAATTATCAGAAGGGGTTTTGTGGAGATTTTAGAAATTTCACTGATTGAAATCATGAGTCTATTGAAGCTAGACCACCATGGAAAACCTGAAAGCACTGAACGGCCGTTCCGTCCTAGTACGGAACTCCTCGGCAGTACGCATCCACGATCCCGCCCCCCGCGAGATTCGAACCCAGGAGTTATCAATCTCTCACCAGGCGCTTAGCCAACTAGACCACATCCAACGCTGTTAATGTCTAACTCCAACCAATCCTCCTGATAATAATCATCTGCTCACTAGTGACTGACTTCAAGAGATACTCCTGGAGTTCTAGTAAGAAGCAGTGACCAGTGGAGTTCAACCAGGTTTGTTGTGAGATATCAACTCACTGAAGGCAATGGTGGATGCGTTGCTCAGTTTTGTAGATTGGTTGAAGTAAGACATTAACACTGTTGGATGTAGGCTTAGTGATCTGGATGTTAGGCATTCGCACGTGAGACCGATGGGTCCTGGGTTAGAATCTCGCGGTGAAGTCGTGAATGCGTACTGCTGAGGAGTCCCATACTAGGACGAAGAGGCCGTCCAGTGCTTCCAGGTTTTCTATGGTGTTCTAGCTTCAATTGACTCATGATTTCAATCAGTGAAATAAATTAATTCTTTATTCATTGCGAAAACTAATACCGATTGAATTGTTAATAGTTTGATGAAGAAACACTCCATTCATAACTTTAAAACAAACTATAGTAAACATGGAAATTCAAGATGAAAAATATTTAAGCTATTATTACTTTGTAATTTATTGTTTACCAAGTTACATCATAACTTTCATGTAAATATTACACTGATTATAGTTAAATTTCCACACCGAATGAGTTCATTATATATGCATGTTTTGATCTTAAATTATATATAAGTGATCGGTTTGTAAAGAATATTTATTCTCTAGTATGGTATTGTTGATGGATCTCAATTTTCAATAAAATTGTATATTATCATTATTTCAAGAATGAAATACAGTCTAATTACGTAATAGGTTGCGTCAGCGTTTGCATTTAAAATCATATTTGATTATAAGATTAATTATGGTCATAATTTCGTTCATTAATTTTATTTAGGCGATAATTTCGGTATATTTTATCGTACACCATTGAGTTTTCGACCTATTCTACGGTCATTCTCTTCTGTTATATCCAATATACCTGATCCAAGAATATGGCCTAGTAATAATGTATTAATTACTACTCCGGATAAAAATTATACAGCACATGATTATTCAGCACTTTTTCAAGATATAGGTTTTCCAGTAGGTAAGTTTATTGAATTGAAGATATTTATTTAAACAGTTTTTTAGATTTTACTTCTACTACTGACAAATTCAATCGTTCATCAACTTTACTGTCAATATTCTTCATATTTTCCTTAGGGTACATTTTCTCACAAACTGTTTCGTCCTACCCTGTCCTCATATTAAATTATACATGTGGGCTTGTCAAAGATATTTATGATAAGGGTGTTCAGGTAGTAAAGTCTAACTAATAGCATTCAGAGGAGGCTATGGAAATAGCTTTATCTGTTCATATCAGCAAGATCGATTATTTAGTGCTTTTTCTCCAAGAACATAGGGCTTGAAGAAAACGCTCACTTCTAAAAATCGTTATTTCTCATGCAAAAGATAAGATAAACTTGTGAAATCTCCTTCGACAATATGAAATATCTGAGAATACCGTCACCATCGTACAAAGCTCCCACAAGGAGCTACACAATATCCAAAGGTCAGAAACCAGCAAATATCATCTACCAGATGAGGAAAAAATTAGGACAAGATTCTGGAAATGAATAGAACAGATTTTATGGAAAGTATCAAACTGCATAAAAGACTAAGTCTTAACTTGGAATCCTCAAGAGACATGTTTCCAGGATCCAGAGGCAGATATCGAAATTATGAGTAGCACTTAGCAACGACTCGAAGAACAGTACAGGACAGAGTTCGTCAACGATCCTCGGTCAGGGGTCTTTCCATCAAGAGGGGTAACAGCTTTTAGTGATTAGGTAAGTACGATTTACAATCCGGAAATAAAATATTAAAAGTTTCTTCAGATTTTATTTAACTAGATAAACCACCTGTAGATATTTTATTTTAACCCGGTAGCCGATACGTCAATGGTCCTTATGAATCAAAATACTTAAGAAACCAAGTTCACCAACAACCAAAAAGATACTTTTATGGCGTTCGAAAATATTTTAGCTTTAGATGTGGAATTTCTGTCATCTTTCTAGTTTAAACAAGCATTCAGGAGCCTAGATGATAATAATAATAATAATAATGAAAACAATGTTCTTTGGTTACCTTGATGCTTACGTTTTAGTTATATTTACGAGATATGAAATGTTTTCCTGAAAAATTAATAATCAATCAAATCCATATTATCAGTCTTTTCAGTTCATGCTAAAAATTCGTTTTTTTTTCTATTTACATTTATTTATTAGGTTATCAAGTACACAGAAAAACTCTTCGTGAATTTATGACACTAGATTATCCTAAAGATATTCCCGAAGTATACTGTGTCTATAGTTCCGGTTTATTAACAATAAAAAGACTTGTTTATAAACCACCAAGTCTATTTCGCTTAGAATTTCCTAATCAGTCACCAAAGTTAGAATATGAAGATGGTGATGGTACAGTGAATATGCAAAGTTTACAATATTGTAATAAATGGCCTAATGCATCAGTTATACACTTAGCCATATCTAATCATGTTCCAATTTTAGCTGACAAACGCTTTTTACAGTTTGTACACAACCATGTTACTACTAGTAATTAAAAGAAAATCATACATATTATTACGAAATATAAATACGTTAAAGAAGGGTATTTGTAATTGTGTTTTATTGTAATGACATTACAGTCTACTAAATAAGGTATTGAACGTCACTGTTTATTTAAAATGAAACAATAATACTCTATTAAAGTAATGCACAAGTACAGACTAATGCAAACAGAGAAAACAATATTTGTGTTTGTGGGGGATTCACAATTGGAAAACCTTCACATTACATCACATTAAAAAAGCGAATATACTTTTCTATAGTGTTTAGAACGTTCAAAACGGTGGTAAAAAATTGAAATTCTCTGTCATGAAGTAAAAATAATCATATTAAACCTGTATACTTATCATTTATTTCAATGTCAAGTTATAAGTAACAAGTAAATTAAACCCGTTCTTATTCTGAACTCTGAATCTTAACATAAATTTACTCACTCTAAATCTCTATCCCCAACCCTTGATACTTAATCCTCAATCAGTTACCTTAGGCTCTTAGTATCAACCTTTGGTACTTATTCTTGAACGTCTAGTTATAATCGTAAGCCGCTAAACCAAACAGTCAATAACCTGAGGACACCTAAAAATCAATTTCTATCCCCACAAGGGTAAGCGATCGGTCATTATCAATGTGGAACCTTGAACAAAGTCTGATTGCATCACTTTATCGCAACGCATCAACATATTGAAATAGAATGAACAAAATGAACGGTAAGTGATTCGGGCTAACAAAAATATTTATGATGACAAAAGACCAAACATAAACATTACCGTTCAAACAGATGCGATGAATTTCAGTAAAGAATGTAGGAAACAATATTTTAAAATTAGGAATCTGGAAGAAGAAAAATGACAAATAGACAGTCATTTTCTATCACCGATTATCAAGTATAACATTTAAAGTCTCCTACTAGTTATTACAACTCACTTCATGACCCAAAAATATGGTCAACACCAATCAAAGGAGCTTAGGTGGACAGTAAATTTCTTGAATCAATCCTGAAATTCTGCTTGATTGCACGCAGCTCCCCTATAACATACTTCTACGTAAGTCACCATTACATAATGAAGTGAGTAGTGGTTAGGTATCAGGAAAATATGTTCCACACGACTAAGATTTATCATGTCATTTACCTAGTATAAAACATTAAACATTTAGATTATTTGCTTGACTGCTTTACCATATACTAGTAATGTTTTAAAGAGATGTATAAACTTGACAAAAAAAACTGATTTGAAATCTTTGTACAGCAAAGAAGCAATCTAATTTCTACAGAGGTAAAGAATTTCAAATAATTCAAGGCCACTTCTATCAATTATTTTCGTTTTAAAAAATAATACAAAATCGACCACTAGGCGATACTTTTCAGAAGAAAACAAATTTCACCTAAATGACCCTTTGGAAGACAGATATCAAGTTTTCTTCCGTACAGTCAAGGCGGCTGAAACTGTCTCATTGAATCACAGTTGTTGTATTAGAAAGTTATCCCATCTACTTTCAGAAGACGGTAGGTCTCTTAAATAAACCATTCAGAAAGAAAATGTCAAGCAAACTAAGCATCATTTCTCCGATATCCTGAGAACTGTAAGGTATAATTCAGCCGTTAACGTTTATCTCTTCGTACACTTAAAACCATCAGGTAAATCTATCTTACCACCTGACAATTTGCTATGAAAAGAAGTTATTTCCCTTTTAATGATGAATTAGAATAACTCCAAGTGTCATCCAAATTATAAATGGTTCCGAAATTGCCCAAAAATAAGGTAAACATATGTAGTCGTTTCATTTCCTGTTACATTGCAGGATACTCTCCTGAATGGTTGTCCAAGGGAGACCGTGAAACAATCAATTTAATTTGCTAACGCTGTCAGTTTTCGATATGGGAGTGTAGAGATTGTTAAATTTCATTGAAAACATAAACCAATCAAAGTTAGACCATCATTGAAAAATTAATAGAACTGAATGTCCATTTCATCCCAATGTGGGACGCCTCAACAGTGCAAATCCACGACCCCAAACTTGAAACGCAAACTCACGGCCTATGCCTAACTTCTAAATCGCAAATCCGTCACCCAAGTGCTAATGTCTAACCTCACTTAATCCACGACACTCCGCGATGATCTTCTACTGTCTTCCGTGGACAACAGTCTCATGCCTGGCAAGAATAAGCCCCGCCATTCACAGCTTCTCACCAGAACGCCAAGCATTACTTCTCGAAGCTATTCACTGTTTAACACGTGATATTTTTCAATGTGTGATTGTGGGGATTGTTAAATTATAACATTAACACTGATGGGTTTTATGCTCAGTGATCTAGAGTTATGCGTTCCTGCGAGAGACGGGAGATTCTGGGGTCGACTCTCTTTTGTGTAGGGCTATGACTACGTTCTCCAAAGAACTGTCTTTATACCACGAGACGCTCTACAAAGAGCTTACGTGTTTTTCTATCTTTGTCTAACTTTAATCGGTTCATGATTTCAATAAAATTAACAATTTTATCAACTATATAGGGGTTGAAAGTTGTTTAGAATCGACATAATAAATAAGCAATCTGCCGGTATCATTACTCCTTCAATGTACTACTAGCCACATACAAAATAGCTATGATAACTGTGATCATATAAAGAATGCTGATGGGTGGCCTATGCTCCTCCACGAGGGGTAACAGGCGTAAGTAAATAAATTTAAAACGGTTAGTCCCTTTGATAAACTTCGATAATGATGTTAGAAGACGACGATTATCAGAACTACGTGATATAATAGCGCAATACATTTCGAACAATCTGGTCACACATATATAAGTAAATAAATTAGCGAATAACGAGTTGACAGTTTCTGTTAATATTAATTACAACTCGACTAAAGACAACATCGACTGTTTCACAATTTACTGTTAAGATTGGGCTTAGAAACGCCCACGAGTATAAACACATCACCAACACTCTAATAGTAGGCTAAAAATATACACACACAAGATCGATTGGTGAATAATAGATCTATCTTTATTTAATATATTTTAATATTTATTTGTATACTACTGTTACATTTAAAAGTAGGTAGCAAACATATTCCGATTTCGTCTTGTTAATTTTAGCAAATAGAATGTATTTCGAGGAATTTGTACTGATTTGGATTTTTCATCTCTTTCTAAATAATTATCAACTCCATTGGAATCGTGTATTATGAAATATTGTTTCAAATATACCATAGAAATATTAAACTTGATGGATTATTATATTAGAACAACACATATAAGCGAACAATTATTTTCAATTAGATCGTCATCAGGCTTTACTCTAATATACATGAATATTTATACGAAAATTTTAAACCAATCAAGGCAATATGAGTCAATAATCACAATGAAATAGAATAAGTCACTACACCTAATAGGTAAAAGTACAAGTTTATAGTAGGAAGACAGGTGAACTGATAATCGTAAGAATAATAAAATTACTTACTTACTTACTTACTTACTTACGCCTGTTACTCCTCGTGAAGGAGCATAGGCCGCTCACCAGCATTCTCCATCCAACCCTGTCCTGGGCAATCCTTTCCAGCTCCTTCCAGTTGTAATTCATCCTTTTCATATCTGCTTCTATTATCCGACGTAATGTGTTCTTTGGCCTTCCTCTTTTCCGCTTCCCTTCAGGATTCCAAGTTAGGGCTTGCCTCGTGATGCAGTTTGACGATTTGCGTAATGTATGTCCTATCCATTTCCATCGTCTTCTCCTAATTTCCTCTTCAGCTGGAAGTTGGTTTGTTCTCTCCCACAGAAGGCTATTGCTGATGGTATCCGGCCAATGGATGTTGAGTATCTTGCGTAGACAGCTATTTATAAATACTTGTACTTTCTTGATTGTGGTTGTTGTAGTTCTCCAAGTTTCAGCTCCATACAGTAGAACTGCCTTGACGTTCGTATTGAAGATTCTCACTTTGATATTGGTTGAAAGTTGTTTTGAATTCCATATGTTCTTCAATTGTAGGAATGCGGCCCTTGCTTTGCCAATCCTCGCCTTTACGTCTGCATCTGAACCTCCTTGTCCATCGATGATGCTTCCCAGGTATGTGAAGGATTCTACATCTTCCAGAGTTTCGCCATCAAGAGTGATTGGATTGCTGTTTTCCGCTTTGAATTTGAGGACCTTCGTTTTCCCTTTATGTATACTGAGGCCTACTGATGCAGAGACTGCTGCTACACTGGCTGTCTTCATCTGCATCTGTTCGTGTGTACGTGATATAAGAGCTAGGTCATCTGCGAAGTCCAGATCGTCTAATTGGTTCTGAGCTGTCCATTGTATTCCGTGTTTTCCTTCAGATGTCGAGGTCTTCATAATCCAGTCGACCACCAGAAGAAAGAGAAAGGGAGAGAGTAAACAGCCTTGTCTGACTCCGGTCCTTACTTGGAATGCATCTGTCAGCTGTCCTCCATGCACTACTTTGCACTGTAGTCCGTCGTATGAGTTCCGGATAATATTGACAATCTTCTCAGGAACTCCGTAGTGTCGAAGAAGTTTCCATAATGTCCTCCTATCTACACTGTCAAATGCCTTTTCATAATCAATGAAGTTGATGTATAGTGACGAGTTCCACTCAACTGATTGTTCGACGATGATCCGTAGTGTTGCAATTTGGTCTGTGCACGACCGATCCTTACGGAATCCAGCTTGTTGATCTCGAAGTTGAGCGTCTACTGCATCCTTCATCCGGTTCAGCAAAACTCTGTTGAAGACCTTCCCTGGTATTGACAGTAGTGTTATGCCTCTGTAGTTTTCACATTTGCTCAGATCTCCTTTCTTTGGAATCTTGACGAGGTGCCCTTCTTTCCAGTCCATTGGCACTTGTTCCTCCTCCCAAATCTTTTTGAATAGAGGGTAAAGCATACTTGTGGTTACTTCGACGTCTGATTTCAGTGCTTCAGCTGGTATATTGTCGGGTCCTGCTGCTTTCCCGTTCTTGATTTGTCTGACGGCCGCTCTAATTTCTTCCGTCGTTGGTGGGTTGACATCTATAGGAAGATCTGTGTGTGCTGCTTTGATGTTCGGTGGATTCATAGGAGCCGGCCTATTCAGGAGTTCCTCAAAGTATTCTACCCATCTGTTACGCTGTTGTTGAATTTCAGTGATTGGCTTGCCTTCCTTGTCTTTGACCGGCCTCTCTGGTTTATTGTATTTCCCTGCTAGTTTCTTCGTTGTATCGTAAAGTTGTCTCATATTTCCTTCTCTAGCAGCTTTTTCTGCCGTCGTTGCTAATTCTTCCACGTATTTCTTCTTGTCAGCTCTAATGCTCCTCTTCACTTGCTTGTTTGCTTCTATGTATTCAGCTTGTGCTTGGACTTTCTCTGCTCGTGTTCGGCTGTTGTTTATAAAATACAATAACAAAACTCTTATCAATAGTTAAACGTTGGGAATAGAAGGTCAAACATGGGTAAATAGACTAGGAATAGTAATCACAAAACATTAAAATCATTACGTAATAAGATGTGTGTAAATAATTAGATAGTGAAGAATACGAAGAGGCGGAAAATTACAAACAAATAATGGATGTGGAAATAAGGTTAACGATAACACAAATAGAATAAAATAAATAATGATAATAATAAAATTTTAATAAGAAAAAATTGTTAGTTAAGTTATAACCGGCCATGGAAGGCATAGGGAGGTCATGTATTTCTTATGTACACATAAATTGGGGTTATATGTACGAATTCCAATGGCTTAAGCTATATGTAGGAGACGGGAACGGACTCCGTCGGGAAATGATGGAGGTATACGATAGATAACTCGAAATGATTTCGATTTATCTACAGCATGACCGCTATCAATGAGATGTGCCAATATAGAACTGCGAATAGATTTTACTTGGCCCTTTATGTACCAAGTTGGTAGATGTTCACCCATTCGTTGGTTAAGTTGCCTGGTAGTACGCCCTATATAGCTATCTCCACAGGAGCAGCTGAATTTGTAAATGCATATGGAAGAGGCCAACTCAGGTAACTTATCCTTCGTTTGAGTAGACATCGCTGGTCGACAAGAGAAGGTCAACGCAAGATTGGCTGCGTAGAATGTCCTGGTTATTACTTTGGTTAACCTATATTTCAGAGTGTCACTAGCCACATCCCCATTGAATTGCACTTTCACGTATAAAGGTTTCTTACGAACAGTCGAAATCTCCGACTTCTTTATTATATCATACATGTACTTCTTAATGAAAGCGCTGGGGTAGCCGATCTCGGTCACATATATATATATATATATATATATATATATATATATATATATATATATATATATATATATATATATATATATATATATATATATGAGACAGCTCAATTCATAATATTTAACTGATATAACTCATTTTTAAGGTGTGTTTAGTTAAGCTTTAACTGAATCGTTTACTATTCATTTTGTGACCGAATTCAAAAATAAGATGCTGACTGAATAATGGTACTCACTGGGCGTTGAGCTATGTTATTCATAGGCTAAATCAGAATATACAAGCCACTTAATAAATGAATGTTAGCATGTTCACTAGAAAACATGAAAGTTCTATATTTATACTAATGTGTAATTGAAAAATTATACAAATTGAATGATCCCATAAAGTCCATAAAAGTAGTTTTTCAATGTTTCTATATCAACTTTTCTTGAAGCCCCTCTAAGGCTACTGCCAATCCCAAGCCGGAATAAAGGAGGAGAGTTTGATATGGGGTTAGTGACCTTATCCCGTAAAAACTAACTCGATAAATAAATGCTAACCAGAAAAAAACTTAATCCAAACCAATGTTTCTTATTAATTATAATCATCAATTAAATGAAATAATAAATTCACTTCACTCCAACTGAAGAATTCCTTAAATTCTAACAAACATTATAGTATAAACCAGTTTTATATGTGCTTAATAAATGATTCATGTGAAATTCATTCTACTTATCATTTATGCATTCAGCAACATAAACATTATCAGTAGAATCATCAAGTGTTTTATCAACTTATCGTTCCATTCAAGTCACTTTGTTTAAAACAACAACGAAAAAACAAACAAACATATTTTATAAACACTTAAACAATGAACTGAATAACCACTTTATAAATACAAGAAAATTACTGCATTGTAAACAACATTATTCTCTAGAGTTAATCACTAAAGAGCAAACAATTTTCTAATGTGTAAAGTTTATGCACAAAACTTACTAAACAATAAAACGATTCTCTTCAAACTACTTATATAAAGTAGGTAATTGGATTGAGTTATTTTTAGTAACTATCGATTTGTTTTGTAATCTAAATTGGTAACGACAAAAATAGTGGGTTATTTAGGCCACAGAATTATATTTGAGAATTATTGTAAAGATATCTTACCACAAGAATCGAAATTTAATTGAATAAATAAACGCGAAATTTATATAAGGACAGTTATTAGCTGGTAAACAAATACATATACAGTACTTTAGATAGATTTAGTGTTATTTAATTTATCCCTATTAGATTCATGATGGTGTAATACTAATGATTAAATAGCGGGGACAAAATGATGTTGATGATGATGATTTTATTTCTGATTGTTTCACACAAAAAGTATACTGCTTGTGTTAGTCCCTCAGAGCAATTTTCAACTTTACCATATGAGCACTTCATGCTTACTCACAACACACATTTCATTATATTTGTGATTATGTAGTTAAATATACTTCACCATGCAAATTATAGATATTACAGATCACCTACTGCTGATATTTCGATATATAGGACTTAGTACTATATTATTTGTCCCTATTGATTTAGATAACTAGTGTGGCACATAAAACAATATCATTTCATTCAGTTGGTTCTGAACACAAAGATAAGAAAGTATAAGGTTCAGCAACTGCCGTCTCATGAAAATCATTTTTCAGTTTACAATAAAAATAAAATCACTGAAAATTTATTTCGATGTTGTTATATTCTATAAAACTAGATACAAACATTTAGTCACTCAGTTTATCATGTACATCATAGAAGCCAGAACATATATGTATCGATCCACGTTTCTACACCATCTCAGCACTGCAGATGAAATCATCTTAACAAAACTCAGAGCAGTACAAGCAATAACAGTAACATTGGAACTAGGAAGATTAGGCATAGACAGTATGACCATAGAAGAAAAGACCGATTAGCGAAATCAACAAAGATAGGTTTGAAAAGTAGGGGCTGAGGAGAGGTAATAAGTGAATGCATCCATACCGTCCAAACAGATTCTGAGTCATACCACCCCACCCCACCCATTGCTTACTATAACCACAGCCACTTAATCAGGATCTACCAAGATGGCACAATCCAACAGTCATCGACTGATGTCATGCTTTATCTGGCCAGCCCCAGATTTCTCCCAATATACTCCCACACCAGACGACATCGTCCGTTGAAGTTGGCAGGGGTTGGGTATACGTAATACATGTCCCAACCACCTTAGTCGATGAATATTAACATTAAATGAAAGTATAATAGTCAGTTCATTTCTGTATTGGTTGTTTGAATCTTCCCTCTGATGTTTAGGACTGCCATTAATCAGTCTGTTATTGGCATATGTGTATCCTGTGCGAGATGCCTCGATATTGCCTTCAGTAACAACCACCATAAGCACTGATGGATAGTGGCTATCAGTGGAATCCAAGATGAGCGTCTCGTCCTATTTGGGACTCGTCAGATGCATCCAAAGTTTGTTGTTCACTCCAGGAGAGTTATTTATCAATACAATTTACTTGAATGACAGTAAATTAGTATTTCTATTTTCAACTGTTAGTTAATCTGGATAGAATCATGAAAAGCAGTAGCGACAACCAACGTTGAACCAACTGTTTATTCATCTAGTTAATTTTAAAACAGCCAACCTTGTTGATAGGCTGGAATTATAAGGTCAAACAAAGCGAAATAATAATACTATCGCAAGCTGATTGGTAGATAGACTGACTGATATGTGTATATAAGATACACATATTTGTATGATTGCTTTCACAAGGTTCATATCACATTTAGAAATTCCTCATCATGAAACAGGTTTAAATATTGTCATCGATACACCTAACATGTGTTGTAATACTTTTAAAATGCCCCACTCAATACTTCTTGTCAAATATATACTTCTATGTAGCATCACTTTAGTGTATACTATTCCGATGCTTACATTGGTTAATAACAATCACACTGGTATAAAATATCCAATAATTTTAATTCCTGGTTTGGGTGGTAGTCAAGCTTATTGCAAACCTAAGGATGTGGGCAGTTCTTTTGCTCCATTTAATCTCTGGATCAACTTTTTTCACATGTTATTACCTAACAAAGTATTCGATTACTTCAGGTAAACAGCAAATTCATATTTATCAATCTGTTTCAAGATTACAACATGATCCATACACCTATGAGTCACATGATTCAAATGAATGTGATGTAACATTTCCCGGATGGGGTGATACATGGTCTGTGGAATATCTATCACAACATATATCTTTTGAGTACTTCGGTTCACTTGTGTCAGAACTGATGAAAGACAAATTTTATGTGAGAAACTTCACAATGCGTGGAGCTCCATATGACTTTAGAAAATCACCAGGTAAGTGAGTACATGTAAGGGTGTTATTTTTTAATTTTAGCAAAAGATTATGAAATATGATATTGAATAGATCTTCAGTGTTTGTCGAGCAGTAACATGAAAAAACATTAATTTGAAAATATAATTAACCGAAATTCCTCTGACAGCAAAGATTGAAAGTTTTCATCGGTCGTGAGCTTTCAGTAATAATTACACACATAAGAAATGTTATAAAGCATGATCAAATAACTTTCTGAATACGTAACAAATTAGATTACAACGACAATTTTATTATTTCATAAAAAATCTGTACTCTGAAGGTGACTTTACGATACATATTTTTTATATTGCTTTGTTAAGTAGAATATTCCATACAGATAAACCGAATTAATAATTAGCGTAGATGAATAATGTTGAGCGTGGAAATTAATCGAACAGTGAAATATACATCAACTATTTAAACACTTCATTATTTGATGCTTTAGTGAGAGATCTTTCATAATAAAATAATCTTCGTGGATGCGCACTTCTGAAGAGTCCCACAATAGGACGAAACGGTCGTCTAGTACTTCTAGGTTTTCCATGGTGGTCTAGCTTTAACTGACTCATGATCTCAACAATTGAGAATAATCTTCCATTTGAATTACACATTTTGTATACAATTTTGTGGAAGAAGTATGTTTTAAATGTACATTTCAAGAGGACTGCTTCCGGATAAAAAAATCTCACATCACCTGCCAAGTCGAGAATCCCATATGTGAGTTATTTTCAAGATTTTATTCGCCTCATTAGTTTAAAATTTAGTCATGGAACATTGATCTACTCAGAACTAATTTTATGCTCCTGTGACACCCTACCAGATTAAACCCTGAAATTTTAGAATGTAAACTGAGAGCGATAAAATCGATAGGTCGCATTATCTATGCGGTATCTTCACCTAGAATAATATGTCGATTGATTTATCTCTAACCCTGACAATTAATTGACTTCGTTTCAAGACAATTCAATATGGTGCTCAAAATTTACATGCGATTTTATGGAAATTTTGTATCAGTAGAAAGTCATTTTTGTTACTAAGATCTAATTTGTGTAAAAAGGATGAACACCTGACCGATGCTCTTTATTTTCGATTGGTTTTCCAAATCATATCAGTAATCAATGTGGTAAGTGTACTAACTAATGATTCCTTTATACCAAACTGAGCGTTTATTATGAATCCTAAATTTAATACGTCTAGTTGTGTTCATCCAGTTTAGCCTGCTTTAAATTGCACTATTTCTAGAATTTCTAGTCAGCAAATAAATATGAATACTTCTAATTATCACATTAACATTCAAATTTGATGTTTATTAATATGTAAATAATTTGCTTTCTGAGCATCAATCCAATTGTTAGTTTCTTCGTATTTGTGTTATCTTTCTCTTCCAGATGATAACAAACAATTTGTAATGAAATTCAAACATTTAGTAGAAGAAACTTATACAAATGGATTGGATCGACCAGTGGTTCTATTAGGCCACAGTTTGGGTAGTCTGTACACATTATACTTTCTCAAAAATCAAACTAAACATTGGAAACAAAAGTATATTAAATCATTCCTATCTGTATCAGCACCACTTGGTGGAACAGTTAATGCACTTATGTCCGTAACTAGTGGTAAATTCAAATCTGTATAAAGCATTTGGTTCACATGTATTCTAATTTAGTGTTTATATATATATATATATATATGCATTTCGTTTATTAAAATCATTCGACCTTTCGAAAGGTTTCCTGACAGACTTAAACTTATGCTGACATTGTGTATATAATGTAACCTTGAAGAACAATTCGTACCGATAACAAATTCTTGTGAACTTTTATTGGTACCTTTATTGTTCACAAATTCAAATAGTTTACGTATCTAGTTCACTCAATTTCTTTGCTTCCATATATTCAAGCACAAATATTTCCTGTTTTAATTGAAGGTGAGAATTTAGGCGTATTTATTCAAAATCCATTGCTATATCGAGATGTGATCCGTACAATGACATCAGTAATTGCTGTACTACCAAATCCTAAACTATGGTCTAAAGATGAGATTTTAATTGTTACACCGTTTAAAAATTACACAGTTCACGATTATCCAGAATACTTCAGTGATTCCAATTATCTTACAGGTACTTATATACAAACAAATATGCCTGTTATATTGTGATGTTATAAATTTGTTGTTTATTGCCTTATTGCTTCTGGTTTAAGAATGAATATTAAGAGACAGTCCGAGTAGTTTTAACGCTTCCAGTTTTATGTATATGTTAGCAGATACGAGTTAATGAACCGGTCAAAATTCGGATCTAATACAGAATTCTTTTAATAATCATTCAACAATAGTAACTGACATAATTACTTTACCATAACAGATCTCCATCTTTTAATAAACGATCAGTGTTACTGTGTACCAGTTTTCTCTGTATTCCTTTACGGCTGTGAAACACTGGGTCTACAAATACCCGGAAGAACTTTGTAGGCTGCAGGTATAAGTTTCTTCAAAGTATCGTCTGAGTTAAATGAAACCATTAAGTGAGTATTGTTGAGGTTAGACATAGAGGTAGTGACGCTTCTAAACTCTGTGTGCGAACAAGATGCAACCCATTAACATAATATTCTCGTTCTTAACACTCCGATTGCGTATCATTTTCAAAGTTATGTTAGCTTCATCTGGTTCCATGATTTAAATGTTTTCACCATTGCGTTCTTTTATGTTTGAAATCAAGGAATATGTACGTAGTCCGGAATACATATACAGTTGACAAATAAATCGTGGAGTTCGCGATACCATAAAGATGCTTAATACATTGGAAATTCAAATTTACTAGGTTGTGGATCATTACTGACTGAGACGATTTGAGTATTGCCTATTCACACCTAGACAATCCCAACCCCTAACCATATTGCTGAAAAGCATAGAGGTTTAGAAGAATATTATGGGTGGACAGTTCAATGGATAAACCTTGCGATTATTTGTCTAAATCATGTTCGAAGTTATTATCCTATGGTGGCAGATGTTGCATGATATTGATCGCAATAACACAGTAGTAATCATTGTGTACTTCTATAAATTATGAGTTCGATGTCATTCCATATTATTCAATCTCCCATCTGGTGTATTTCTTTTTTGAAATATTTTCCTCAGTAAGTTTAGTATGTCATAAAATTTGACAATAGAAATCATGCTCTCCGTTTCATTATATCACTATCTCCCCATTGTGCTTATCTCAGCGGTGTACCATTTATAATGTATGATTAATATTCGGGTTGCACATTGATTTGATCACAGAATATTACTTACAATAATTCGAAAAGAGAAAACATCGTTTAACAGTAATAAGTGCAAATTCATTTTAGTCTAAATTGCAAACATAACTAAGTACTAGGATGATTACACCAAATAACTGAATGCTAAATAATATTTAGCTCCAAAAATATTTCCCTGTCAACAAACTGTTTGTCTATAGAAGTCTAAAACATAATTGCACTGTTTGCTAAAGTATCTGTTTAATTCTATACAGCTGAGTTGTATTTCATTTTATTATGTTTCAAAAGCTTTCTATCCATAAACCATACGACTAATTTGTAGTAAAGTCGGGATACTACTAAATACGAACAAATAACCATAAATTTGCATGTTAGGTATAATAGCATTATCCCAGTATATTATTATACAAACTAAAGCAAAAATTGGTATAGAGCAGTAATTATTTGGTACCAATTAAGCAAACAAGCGCTATATCACTAAGTCACTGAGTAAGGATCCGACTGTAACTGTTTACAGCTACTGTGAAGTATGCTACTTATGTCGGTATAAGTAGTTAGTAAAACCAGTCAAAAGTGGAATGCCTGACAGCGGAAGGTTGAGAAGATCGAATGGAAGAGAATGGGAACAGAAAGCAATTGTTGTGGCATTGAAAGAATGATGAATTTCGAGAGAATTGATGGAAGATGTGCTAATGAGTCAGTTATCCATAGTATCGAATGATGATAAAGTTGCGAAGTGACTAGAGAAGTAATTATAAACTTGAGTTTGAAAAAAAAGGTCAATTACAATGTGCCCATTTAGAGCCATACAAACTAAGATCAAGTTTAAAACCATGAAATTTATGTACTTGTTGAGTTGACCTTAAAATCTGCTTTTAGAAAAGTTCCCTACGGTGACTTGTTTTTCATTATATAGTGTGATTTAAACTTCGTGATCATGTAAGAAATATATCTATCCTTACTTGATTTTTACTTTAATATTACTGATGAATAAAACAGCTCTAAACATATATTTCAACTAATGAATTCAAAATCATTATTAAACTGAATTTTATCCGAAATCAGTTAAAATCACTGTTTTAAATTATTGCTAAACACTGAAATTGAACTTCATTAAAAATAATCTACTTAATCCTGTACATTCTAGGTTATAAACTATTCACACGTTATCTATCTGCATTTGACCCACTCGAAGCTCCCGAACATGTACCTGAAGTCTACTGTATCTATGGTTCTGGACTATTATCAGTAGAACAAGTCATTTACAAATCACCTAGTCTCTTCATTTCAGCATTTCCAAATCAATCACCCAGAATTATATATGGAGATGGCGATGGTACAGTGAATCTACGCAGTTTAAAAGTTTGTACAAAATGGCCCACAGCTAAAGTAGTTGAATTCATTACTTCTGAACATAGACCAATTTTGAGTGAAAGGCGATTTATTGATTTTGTGAAACAACATATGAATATCTAACCTTAATAGTATTATAACTATCATTATTATTTCTACTGTTTATACTAATATGTTTATTATTAACAGTAAATCCTATATGACCAACTATTTTCATTGTTTTATTCAAACATATTGATTTTCATATCTTGAACAAGTACAAACAACAGTTGTGAGTTGGTGGAGAAGATTTGTAGCTCTCTGAGCTCAGCTCAGAGAACAAAACTCCGTCAAAAACAGTTGTGAGTACATAGTGAAGTGGAAAATAATCAAAGTGTTTCTTATTTTCGTTTTTTTCTTACAACTAACAACAACAATACTGTTATTACTGAATTGGAGGAAAACTATTTAAAAGTGTATAACATAAATAAACTGTACGTGTGAAACATTAACGACTGTCCACTAATAACTTTAAACATAAATAGACATATGAAATTCACTTAATAACGTAATCATATCAATCAAGTGTAATTAATGTTTGTCAATTAAAAAAGGATAATGTAGCTACAATTATCCAAGTTTTATTGTAATAGGCATTTATTGTAACTAAAAAACGACTGGTCAATTCACAATAATCCAAGACAATCATTGGCTAAACATGTTTAGTGATATGATTTTAGACAGTTGAGATCATGAGTCAATTGAAGCTAGACTATCACGGAAAACCTGGAAGCACTGGACGGCCGTTTCAACCTATTGTGGGACTTCTCAGCAGTGCGCATCCACGACCCCGCCTCGCGGGATTCGAACCCACAACCTATCAGTCTCGCATCCGGTGCTTAACCAACTAAACCACTGAGCCGGCATCCAACGGTGTTAATGTCTAACTTCAACTAATCGATGAAATTGAGCGACTTGATGTATTCACACATACTAACTCTATACAGTTCTTGATGATATTCAGATTTGTTTGCACATATTGTACTGCGTTTATAGTAATAATCCACAATGACAAACGGATAGAAGTGCTATCGTTACTTGTTTCGTTTTTAATCATCGAAAATACTTGGAATATGAATAACTATCACACTTATCTTAATAATTAGCGATGTTGGTCACGATGATACAAGTCTATTAATTCTATCTTTCCTTAGATCTGGAGTTTTGGAATTTATCCCAAACTTTTCTATTACGCGAATTTATTCAGTCTTCTTGAAACATACGGTTTATGTCCAATCTTTACTACTATCACTGAAGCTGTTATCGTTTCTACCATAGCATTTGTCTTGATAATCTTATTTGGCTGTGCTGATATGGCGTAGTAGGTTAATCAATGCACATGTGAGCCATGTTCTACGTTTCATGTGACGGACTATCAATTTTCATTCAGTGTTTGTGTATCAATCATAAATATAGCTTTCAACTAAAGTCATATATTTGTAAATTTTAAATTTGATTCTGATTTGAAACATAAAGGTGGGATTCCTATTATTATTCGTACTTTAAATACAACAATAATCATGCTGCTTACGTAACGCTAACTTATATTTTGCTACTAGTTAGAAAGATGATAGTAAGAAAACACATAATTCAACGGCGAATACACCAAGGAAGAGAAAATTTTCTTTGAAAACTGACATTCAATATTATACATAACTAATCCAAACTCATTTTTTAATAATATAACTTAACTGAATCAAAATAATAAGTAGATTTAACTTGATGGTCAAGCTGTTAGCTACGATCAACACCATTATACCAAAACGTTTACTCAAACAGCAGTCAAAGTGATCTGAAATTCTGTTAGGAGTATGTGTGTGATTGTCACTTGCTGTTTGGCTACATCATAGAAGACTACTTCTTAAGGGACCTTAAAAAAAGGATTGGTATTGATCTTAGTGATCTCGCAGTGTGGTCATAGTGATCAAAGAGGTAACTAATCGACTCCAGTAATACACAGACTTTATGGTAGAAGTTGTATGATATACTAACTAGGTATTTTTAACGTCTTACAGCACGCGATGGAAATTTGTGGATTAAAAAAGAGGTGTTACTTTCAGAGCATCATGATATGAGAACCCGACAACTATGTCAAGGTAGCAGGTACGACCGCGACTCATAAAGCAATCAACATAAAACCACCTGAAAAGAAATGGTAGAGTACAGTTTTAAGAGAAAAAACTAGAAGGTAAGGAAATGAATCTTAAGTATGTTTAACTTCACAAGGATTATTCAATTCAATTGTAAAGTTAATAGAAATTACGACTCCATGTAATTTGATTAGAAAAATAAAATATATTCACATATATTGACAAAAATAAATCAACTACTAACAATCCATCATTAGTGATAATAATAATAAATATAAATATAACGAATACAAGCGGAATAATATGCATTACAATACTACAACTTCACTCAAAAATGACATAATTAAATGTAAACTCCAGAAAAGAACACCGTTTTCTCTCGAGTAAAAATGACAAAATTCCATCAATAAAGGGACTGTACAATTATATATATATATATATATATATATATATATATATATATATATAGGAAATCGGCTCATCATGAAAGGAAGATAGAGAAGAGTTAATCAAAAAATTAACATACAGCGATATTCTCCGTTATAAGCATAAATATACAGCCACCGGATGATACATCATTAATAAGTACAAATAATAAATGGAGTATTGATTAATGGAAATCCATAATGTGTTGCATAACATCACTTCGTAATTTACTGTGAAATTCACACATTGGACAAATAACATCCTCATCCTCACCATTACCGACATTATCATGTTCAATAGTATTCAGTCCTTTGTTCAGCTCATCTCGTTTATCATCAGTGTTGTTGTCGTCGTCGTTATTATCGTCTATGATGGTGATTTGATCAGTTATTTGATTATTTAAACTGCTAGTTGCCATGGTAACAGCCGATGTCTCAGTATTATTATTTATAGCTGTGGTACTGAGTAACTTTCCAAATTTAAGCTGTTCACCGGTAATCCATTTAACAAATCTATTTAAACTCAATCTAGATTCATTAGAATGCTTTGACATTGATAATGCTGATGAATTTATAACGTCACAAACACTACCACCACTGGCACTATCATGATGAACATCAATGAATTTCGCTGAAGATGAAGATGGTGAACTTGTAGTAATCCTCAATTGAATAGGTTGATTGCTTAACGTAGAAGTAATAATTGTAGTAGTAGTCGTTACTGATGTCGATGTTGTCGTGAGAAAGTCAGAAGTGTTAGATATAACAAGTTGTTTTGTATTATTATTATTATTATTATTATTATTATTATTATTATTATTATTTGAATTCTCTTTCAGCATTTCATTAGCATGAGCTGTTTTCTTATGTGTATTGAGATCGTCAACAGTTAAACAAAATACTGGACATAAATCGCACCCATGAAACTATATAAAATAAAACATTTCAATAAAGATAAATAAACAATTAGAATATGTGGAGGTAGATGTATTACGAGAATGTTTTGCATAGATTCATACAATCAAAGTACTTTTATTCTATTTTGTAACTATTAATTGTAATATTAATTGTAAATAACAACGACATTCAGAAAATTGGTGAACAGAAAATATATGATCACCTAGTTATAACTATTCTGTCTGGAATTAAACAAAATACATCATCTAACACAAAAATTTCTCATAAATTATTACAGAGATGAAATCACTATAAAAGATAAACAAATGTATTGAATAAAATCTAGTCTAAAAGATTATGGAAAAAACCACATTATTAAATACAAACAATGTTCAAATGTTTACATATTCACATGTCATGGTGAAATACTGTACTCAGATATATTTATCTATTCAAAGACTGAGAACTTCAAATTATAATGGTTCATTTTACATGTAAAATTATGGTATAGGAACGAGCTAATCAAAACCGAAAAACGACTTTTAAGTCCTATAAGCAGAAATGATAATGGCTTGCAGGCAGTGGGTCTCTCTTTGTGGGTCATTTCTGCTTATAATGCTAGTGACTGAAGGCAATATCGAAGTGATCTGTACAGGATGCACATATGCCAATAACAGACTGATCAATTGCAGTTTTAAACATCAATGGGAGAATCCAGACAACCAACACAGAAATGAGTAAACTTTCGAGTCTTCATATAAAGATTTAAGAACAAATAACTTCTATCTTATATCACATAAGGGGAGCGGTAGTTTTACCTTTGTGTAATTGTTCCCAAAACATTCAAAGCTAGAACTAAAAGCTACTTTAGTCATCATTAGGAAAAATTATAGCTTTAAAAGTTAAAAATATTTAAGTCTTTTTATTTAGGTATTAAATCACACGTAAATTAACCCAAACCCTTAATGCTAATCGTAAACACGAACCAGGAACAATGTAGGAACTCCTAAAAACCATTTTGAACCTTAAAAGGGTTTTTAAAAGGAGGATGTTTTAAGGCAATATAGAAATATCTACCACTCTTCTTCGATTTACAGGCATATAGATTCGTAGTAAACTTTAATAAATTTTTTAATTAGGTAAAATCTTTATATTTATTATTTTTTCCAATAACCATTGATTTACAAGAACTTTTCAGAATGTCTATCAACGAGGTGAAATTTATCACAGTTATTTCAATAATCGCTAAAGCTCTTCCTTATGCTAAAAAGCGCATCATTTTAGACAGAAACTCGATAACAACAAAGTAAGTGATTCTACAGGATTTTCTAAATTCTTGTACTGAAACGGCAACAACAAAATAGGATGACATTTATCTAGTCTCTCAAAACCTTCAATTCAAACTAATCTTTAACATTAAAGTGGGTTTTATGAAAAGAATACAGCTTAAAGAAAAAAAAGGGATCTAGGATCGATAGAAACTATGATAACTTAGGGTACCACTCAGGTAAAATCATTAAAATGTAGAGATAAAATCAATTATTCGAACCCAAAATTGAACTAGTTTAAAATATTTAATACTTAACTCTTTATCAGATGAATTTACAGCCGAATTTTCGCAGCGATTATAGGTTTATTGATGACGAATGAATACCACATTGAAGTGTATAACTAGTGCTCGATTGTATGGGGTGGATAGATAACTTAAAAGTAGCAGAAATGGTTCGAAATAGTAGCAATCGGCAGGTGACAGCATAATTAATTGTAAGTTATGTAAACAGTAGGAAGTAACAACACGCCTTAAAAAACTAACCTGGGATAAGTGACCAATAGCACAGCGTTGGCTACCCTGTTTTAAAGGACTGGCAATAATTTTTGCTGCAGCAACTGTACTTAAGGATGATGACGGTGATAATGTCGTTGGTGTTGTTGTTATTGAAGTAGAAGTATTAGTTGCGCCAATTGATTGCGGTTTAACAATTCGATAAAATTTATTTTTTGCAGAAATGTGATTTAGTTCCGATTCCTTGTTATGACTACTGCAATAGTGTTTCCATAATGAAATTGCTCGTTCACATGCATATAGACATAGAGGACACCAGTACTGATGACTAGCCTAAAATACCAATTTATAAAATGCATTTCTATATCACAGCATTTATCATATAGTTATACTAAAATACATTGAAATCTCATTTTGAAAAGGTATAATCATGAATATTTAGAACGATAGGATTCCCTATTCGTGACACGAGGTTCCAACTGTTGGCATCCAGAATGACAATATTTCCAAGCGGCAGTTTGAATTCAATTTTCTGGGTACTAATTTCATCTGAGTAGTGTTAACACTACTAAGCATATGCCTTTTTATCCAATTTAGAAAAAGACCTGGAGAATCAGTGACTGACATGGTATAATATTGTAAGGTTTCTATCAATTATGCAGGAAATGTCAATTATCATTAACTAAAATTGAGAACTTTTTTCAGTTGATAACAAATTTAATAATCTTGACCAAACTATTGGATAAACACAGGCATGTATACGAAATATATGAATGGTCGGGAAATATTTCTAACCTATTTGTTTTCAGGTATTAATTTATTCAAACACGTATGATGTGTGACCATATGAATTTAAGTGAGATTAAACCAGTATCCTGTTCTCAGTCACTTGTATGTGTACATATGCATTAAAATTTGAACTGACTTATTCACCGGGTACTTGGGTATGAGCCACACTCTAAATATGAGGGCTAATTATACTATCCAGTTACTCAAACACAAGTAGGTCGAAAGGGGTCTGAATCTGGGATTTAGTGAGCTAAAATCAAACATCTCAACCACTGAGTGACCGCTCTATTGGAAAGATAAGGTGAGTCTATTTTAGCGCCAGATCATTTGAATGCACTACAAAGATCTAGCAACTCAGTAGAATGATCAGGCCCAGCCGAGAATACAATCAGAACAAATGTGTAAACAATGGCTATGCAACGATGGACAATAGCAAATCAAATCCCGGGTCAATAGTACAAACTGTAAAGAAATTATAATACCTCACTTCTTTTTCAAGTATGTACTGCTAGTGTTGTTGACTAGATGGCAACGAAGACATAACAACGAAATCATACAACTCACAGAACACATCTCTGTGGAATGAATAGTTTCAGAAGCCTCTCTTCCCAGTTATTTTTAAAACTTCTGAAGATCAAAAGCGAATGAATTAATTTATACTCTCAACCTTTTAATAACCTAGCGTCTTTATTCATTAACAATTAATTTCATTACATGTTTTCGTATTCATAACAAATGTTGGACGTATGGATTTTTCTTAATATTTCATTTCTGAAACCATATCCAAATTAGTGTTCCATAATAGTTTGTAATAGTCGTCAGTTCATTTGTTGATATTAAGTAATAGTAATAATAATGTTAGTATAACAGCATTAAACTGATGAATATATCAACGCAACCGTCTGTAATCTAAATATATCGTTTCTACCTAATTTTTTCAACTGTCCTGTCTTTAAACTACCGAAGGTCGAGTGGGTTCGTGTGAGGGTGAAAAGACGATCTGCAATGACAATATATGAGTGGATAAAACAGAGAGTCCTCACCTCGCCTACTATCTTTTTTTTGAGTTTCAGGAACTGTCATTGATTCACACTAGTAACAATCACCAAAAAAAATTAAAACACAAAACATTGAAATTGTGTTACGATCAAAATTGGAATCTAGTTGAGTTGTAATTTAATTACATGAGAGCTATGGGGAACAGAGGATTAAATATGAACTATTTATTTATTTATTTGTACATATAAACGTTAGTAGAAGGGGGCGCCAAATACAAATAAACGAAAGTTGTGTAGTAAATATGACAGTAAAACGAAAGTTTTTTTAAATAAAATTCAGATTTATCTACTCTGTCACATAAACGTTCACATGTTAAAGTAAAAAAAAAAGAATAAAATGAGAAATGTAGAACCTTATGATTTGTTATAGAATAGTAAAAGATAAAACGTAAGTGGGACGATATAAATACATAAAAAATAATTATTGAATGACAAAATGATAAGAATTTAACTGAAAGAGTAGATGTATAGTCAATAATATAATTGACTTTGAACTATATTTCATCCATGATGATTTCAAAGACATCGACGAATAAAATTAGACTTTGGTGGAGTTTTGTTCTCTGAGCTGGATGGTTTGGTTGTGAGGCTCTCATCGTTCCACTGAACGACGTCATCAGCAAAAACTTTAAATAAGAGTGAAGTTTTTGAATTTCCCCACATATGACTCCCAGCTTGTCCTGTAGACCTCGATCTTGATTGGTTATTGTTGACCTTTAACCTGTCATTGTTCATTTCTTTATTTTGATGGTATCTCCCATTGATTTGATTCTTGGTCCCATATTTGTCCATAATTTTTTTTATTGTTTGATATTGATGTCGTTCAGAAGAACGATGAGAGCTCCACGACCAACCATCCAGCTCAGAGAACGAAACTCCACCAAAGTCATCTAATTGAGTTACAAATCTTCACCATCTCAAAATTAGACTTTATCGTACACGAAAACAGACAAAAAAAACACTGTGACTTTTATGAATGGTTGAAACCTGCTGATGTGATTATCAGTCTTTGTATGCCTCTAAGTTTATCAGTATCAGTCCAGAAGTGTACAAATAAAAGTCTAACAATGTATTTCTGTTTGACAGACGTTTGAATATCTTGATCACAGCACAAATCCTCGAAGGTTTAGAAAACTTAGTTATGAGCACTTACTATCCATCAGATTTAATCTACCAGTTAATACAGTCAACACATAAGAAATAGACGATATTATAGAAGTGAACTAACTTGTGATTAATATATAGTGGAATGTATATCAGTCAGTCGTAGGTAATATAGAACTTAGTACATTGGTTTAAGTTATAACACCATATAAACAGCTAGATGAAACTATCAAAACAAATAGTAGGGTGACTGAAATAGCAATAGTATCAATAGTAGTAAAAAACGATTCGACATAGATATTATGGTCGTAGAAGAGAAGACTGATTTGTGAAATAAATAAGCACAAGATGAGTTTGAGACAAAGAAAAAATGCATTTGTGCCATAGTGTGTGATTATTAACAGACCCCAGCCAAATTGCTTTCATCTAACATCATGGCTCAGTCCAACAGTCAATGACTTGATGGATTGAAACCAAGTCTTGGTTTGGTATATCTTAGATTTCTTCCAACTTAGTACGCTGAAGCACTAAACATCGAACGTTGAGGTAGGCAGTGAGTGATCATAAAGAACAGACGTTTCAATCACATCAGTTGATATAATTAAGGATCTACAACAAAAAATTTACAAACCCAATAACTACAATGAATAAATAAAGAAAAACTAACTTGAGCCATATGTAAATCTAAATGATTAATGGTAATAAAATGTGCATTACAAACTGAACATTTCCAACATGGTATTTCTTCGGGCTTTATATATACAGCAACATTATCCGGTAATGAATATGATACGGATATTGTTGACATAGATAATGATGAATATAATGTAGAAAGATTAATTAGTTTTGAACTCATTGTTAAATTATTAAAATTTATTTTATTATTCCTTGTAGAACCATATTTGCATATATTATTATTTATTTCATCTGGTACAGTGAAAAAGTGTACAGTTTGTAAATGAATTATAAATGAAACCATATCCGAGAACACACGACAACACTGTGGACAATTATACACATCTTTATTCAACCGATAGGCGAAGTGTTGCTAAAGTACCAAAAGAATATAATAATAATAAATATCAGATAAATAATATGAATTATGTATACACATATCCATACAAAACTATAAGATTTTCTGTGAAAACAACCGAAATAAAAAGTGAAAGTTAGTAACTTCAAAAAACAAGTAAACACCTAACATAACGGTGGTATTCAAATATTTACCAATCAAACAATCGTATTTATAATCCAACTTTGAAAACTGTATCCTGAACCCAAATGTAAAACAAGTCGTAGCTCAACTTAGCTTTACAATTGACCAGGTCAGTCAGTCAGTAACAACGTAGAACTTCGTACGTACGTACATCAGTTCGAGTTGCCACACCACATTAGCACAGAGATGCAGTTGTCGATTCAAATCCCGTAGTGGTAGAGGTAGCAAGAGTATAAGCAGTAATCGGGAAGATTAGGGTTTGGAGATGTTATTTAAAGAGTACAATCCAGTGAAATAAATTTGGAAAGAGGAAAAAAGGGACATGAAGAATTCAGAAGATTAGAATTTAGGAGAACACAAAGAGTGTATGCACCTGCGCCATTGCAAACGATTTTGAGCCATGTCATTCAGGGTCTCTAACCATCGGTTGCTATCATCTCGCGGTTCCCAACCAGATAGTCTACACCTACCAACATGACTCAGTTCACTTGTCACTGACTTCATAGACTTGTGCCATGTTTTGGTCTGGCCGCTCCTAGCTTTCTTCCAACCTACTCCTATACCACTGAACATAGCACGTCCAGGCAGTCGGTTGTTGGGCATACGTAACACGTCTCCCAGCCATCTCAACTGATGAAGTTTCACTACTTCATCAATTGATTTGCCATCCTTACCTAGTACCCGTTTCCTGACAACTGCGTTACTTACTCGATAGTCCCAGGATATACGAGCAATATTTTGAAGACACCTATGATCAAATACTAGTAACCTACGAATATCCTCTACTCTTACCGGCCATGTTTCACTGCCATAAAGTAGGACGGAACGAACTGCTGCACAGTAAACCCGTCCTTTGGTTGATAGACGGATATCTCACCTACGCCATAAATGACGCAAGTTGGCAAAAGCTAGTCGAGCCTTCTGTATCCGTGCTGAGATTTCGTCACATACTAAACCACAAGGGCTGATGAGACTTCCAAGATAAGTGAAGCGATCGACACGCTCAATTACTTCACTCCCTATCATTAGTTCGGGTGTCAATGCAACCCAATCCTGAAGCGACATTTTATATTTCGAGGAGGAGAATCGCATCCCGAATATGCTTGCATTGTTGCTTAGAGTGGTCAAAAGACTGTGCATTTTGTCAGCGTCTTCACCAAATAAAACTATGTCATCAGCATATTCTAAGTCAACAAGTGAACCTCCCGGTAGAAGTTCAACCCCTGGAAATTTAGACGAAGAAAGTGTTATCTCTAAAAGTACGTCGACGACAAAGTTGAACAAGAATGGAGAGAGTCGGCAGCCCTGACGAACACCACTTGAGGTAATCAATTCTGATGACAGTTCGCCATAAGCTCTCACTCTACCAGTTGTGTTCGAGTAGAGAGCCTTTATAAGGTTAATGTACTTCTTTGGTACTCCTTTCAGTGACAAACACTGCCATAGAACCTTACGATCGACAGAGTCGAATGCTGCTTTACGGTCGAGAAATACTACGATTGTGGGGCGTCTGAATGTGTGTCTGTGTTCTAGAACCTGACGTAGTGTGAATATGTGGTCTATACAACCACGTCCAGGTCGAAAACCAGCCTGATTTTCTTTAGTCTGCTCTTCACGAGCTTTAGTTAGGCGTCGAAGTATTATTGAAGCTAATATTTTAGACATTATATTAGTAAAACTGATTCCTCTGTGATTGTCACAAGAGGACATTTGTCCTTTCTTAAAAACTGGCACAAGCAGTGATTGAGACCAGTCAGATGGGATTGCGTTCAGTTCACAGATACTACCTATGGCCTCAGTCAATCTCACTGCTAATACTGAACCACCATCCCTAAAAACCTCAGGAGTAAACCTGTCAGGGCCTGCTGCTCTCCCTCGCTTCAGATTTCTTATGGCTTTTTCAACTTCGTAAAGGGACGGAGGACATACATTAACTTGCCATTCAGGTTGACTAGAGATCGTGGGAAACCGAAGTGTGGCTGAAGGCCAGTTAAACTGATCCCTAAAGTGTTCTGCCCATCGATCCAATCTCCTGGATTGAGAATGAATAATATGTCCATCTTTCTCTGAGACTGTTTCGCTAACGGTCGGGTTCATAATTCCGGTTTCCTTAACGAGTCTGAACAATTGTCTGCTATTACCTATTGCCGCTGTCTTTTTCATCTCTCTTGATTTCGCTACCCACCACTGTTCGCGATCATTGCGTAGGTTTCTTTTCAGCTTGTGCTTAAGCTGACTCCGCTCTTCATTATGTTCAGAGCCAGGTAGAATGAGTTTCCGAGCATCTATCAGTGCGATAGATGCTGCTGAGATCCAGTGTTGCACCCTAACCTTCTGGTTTACCTTACTAGCAGATATCTGCTGTTTCCACAGCTTTTCGGATGGGCATCACATACATGGCTGCCTAACTGTTTTCCTAGTTGTTCCTGAAATATACTCTTAGCTTGACCACCATTAATTAGGGCCCTAAGAGGTTTCCTTGCAGCGTCTTTCCTACGTCCAGTAAGACGCAGACAGATACGCGCTCGCACTAGAGCATGATCTGAATCTAAGCATGTGCTCCAGAATGAGCGACAGTCTTCTATCGAGCCCCTCCATCGGTGGCTGATAGCGATGTGATCTATTTGGGTCCAACGTTGGGACGAATTAGGGGGTCGCCATGTTAAAAGATGTTTTTCCTTATGCTTAAAGTTAGTATTTGCAAGAAACAGAAGGTTATCTGAGCATAGCTGCAACAGACGGTCGCCATTATCTGTTCTTTGAGCCACGATGCTATAAGATCCACCTAGGTGTCAGTCAGTCAGCTACAACGTAGGACCAGGCACATATGTGCATCGGTCCAGGTTGCCATACCGCATCAGCATAACAAGATGAACACCGGATTCATAGCAGTGGTTAGGTCAAAGGTAGTAATATGTAGGAGAAAGATTGCATATAGAGATATAGTACAAGAAGAAAGAATTGGTTCGTAGAAAGAAAGATATGAAGCGATTTTAATCTCTTAGTTTAAGGGAAGACAGGGAGTGTATACACCTAGGTGTCTTTCTCTATCGCTTAGTTTACCTACTTGAACATTAAAGTCACCGGCCACCATTACTACATCAGAGCGCCTAGCTTTTCGGAGAAGGTCGGAGAGCTTTCTGTAAAACTCATCTTTTACATCATCCGAGCTGCAGTCAGTGGGAGAATAGACACAGACGACGAAGAGGCAACGACGAGTGTTCCTATCTTTCCGAGTCCTTATTGTTTCGTTTAGTCGGACAGTGCACAAACGACTGTCTACTGGGATCCACTCTAAGAGAGCTAGTTCTGCCCTAGGACTCAATGCTACACCTACGCCGGCGAGGCCACGGGAAGCAGAATCAGGGCTTCCAGATACACGAAGTGGGAATCGAGATGGTTCTTTATTTTGATATGGTGAGGTCAAATGAATGAGGCTACTCGGATCCTGTATGCGCGTTTCAGAGGCGCAGCACACATGAATGGCGCGAGATTCTAAAGTCCTAACTAAGGAAGCCTGTTGTCCTATTTGGCACAGTGTTCGGACGTTAAAAGCTCCTACGTATCGTTTAGAGCGTGGTTTCAGGAGACCAGGAATAACGTTCCGCGTACTCGAATCGTTTGCTCTAGCGGTGCGAGGTGATAAAGAGACATGAGGAGGGTTAGTCGTTGAGATAAGAGAGTTTTTAGGTGTGGGGAGGATTTGACTGTGACCAACTTGGTCTCGTGTGCTGTTACGGGTATGAGGGCTGATGTCACTTCCCGGCTGCCCACGCCGTGGAAAGGTAGGTACATAAATTCGTATACTTGACTTCGAGAAACACTTTAAGTGTGGGGGCTAGTGATACTAGCAGGTTGCCCAAGTCGAAGTAGGTGGGGAGGGGCTTCAATATACGATTAAGTAGCTGAAAGTCGGACGCTTTAACGATTAGACAACCGCTGAGCTTCATAGTTATGAATATACCCTTCAAGTGGGTAATTTCACATTAGTTTCCAATCATTTGTAAAAGCGGTACACCGAGATAGAAAAACATAATCTCGATCTATTTTTCAATTAATTACGTAACAAATGCTGGCGGTGTTTCCTCGATTGGCCAGACGGTAATTTTCAATTACGTAATATCAAGAATTCTTTTTTCTAATAAGAACTTGGTAGTACGGTCATCGACATACAACAACAATTCAGAGTTAATAATCCACGCCCCAATAAGAGATAGAGAACATGGAACATCAGAAGAGGTTTACATGTTGAACAGAAGTCAAAATCGAGAAGGGATACCCCTCTATATATAGTAACAAAGTATGACATGGGACACGAAAATTGCTAAACTAAAAGTTTTAACGGTCGACCAGAAAACAGTGGAGTTTGTGCGAAACTATGAATTCAAAAATATTATTGCGATTGTTGTTACAGAAAATAGATTTACATTTATTAACAAAAACTAGACAGCTTAAAGTCTCATTGGCATGGCCATGACCAGACATTGCTAATTTCATGACACTCTCTATGTTGGGTATTTGGATAAAACTTATGAAACAATCAAGACCAAAACGCAAAAGTAGTTCATTTCCGGTTGTTTTGAGCCATAAATGAGGCTTCAGGCTTTTTGCTAAGATTGACAGCAAGATAATCATTAAACATAGCTACCATAATCTTTATAAACACCATTGATATCTTGAAATATCTATAGAGAATTGTATAACAAAAAGGTGAGTAAATAGAAAAGGAAACACAATAAACGATTCAATGGAACTTCAACTTACAGGATGCTTAATAATTTCATGTAGATAATAAGTTGAATTACACAGTGCTTTTTCATCGCAAAATCCACAACTAACATGTTGGTGTCGGATTACGCCAGCCTTTGTCCAAAATAATTGACCACATAAACGACAAGGAATTGTTGGGATATGTCGTAAACCTTTAACCTGAGTATTCGTCGTCACAGAATATACATGAAAATGAATCATATGACAATTAATTTGACTAATAATTAAACAATGTGAATAAGTATTGACCAATTTAGTGATAGTCAGTAAGAAATAATAAAAAAATATATATAAAATATGGCAAAGTAAATGGATCTCTATGATTTAGAATACCGAATCTATCATTAATGAATTTAAACAAAAATAACCCACTAGTAATCACAACTTTTTGCTAAATACTAATCACAAACAATCATACTGGGGCAATATACCTGATGGTCACCTTCAAACTAACTAACTATAAGTATCAACTCGAGGGATACACATATCATATTAAAAAATGATCATTCAGCTATATACTAATCAGGTCTTTTTGTAGTGCCAGTCATCCTGAAGGCATTGTTCACCAATTTTGTTCCAATAATAGTGTGGTGTATGCTAATTATGTTGACAGACATAACTAGTATGTAATTGCTATTTAAAAAAAAGTAAGAATGACTAATGATCTGTCCACTGTAATCACTTTGCTGAACACTTACCACAGATACCCCAATAAAGATAATGCTATTTTTGCGAACCAGTTTTTGTCTACTCAAAGAACTTCAAATCAACTTGAAGAATGCAGACGACACAATCTCATTAAGTGATAATAATACTAAGATTTTATAATACCCCAATATGAAAGAATATATAGAGTAAATTTTGTACTTGTAAACATAAAGATTTCTAGAGTCTGGATCTACTCTGATGTCTGTATATCAGCAAGATATATAGAAGCCTACTGGTGAACAATAATGATCCTAAGTATATATCATAAGTGCATATCATCAAATCAATTTTTACATCTGATGAAACTATCGAGTAAATAAAATTGATGCATCTGGCTTATCCATCTGTCGTCCATCCATTACATGTGAATGTCCTGTAACAGTTTAAAAAGTACAATTAGACCAACATTTATTCGTTGATTTTAATGCTAGTTTTGTTCATCAAAACACCGGAGAAAAATGTAGACCACAAGTTAAATTTAAAGTGATTTATGTACAATTCTGGGGACTGATATAAAGTGATAAATAGCAAGATATTACAAACCACCACTTAATTAATTAAAGACAACACATATTAGCTCTTAACTAACAAATATAAATTGACTCGAAGAATCTTGAGAAAACGACTAAGCTATCATTAGTATATTATATAATGGATTATTACATATCCTAAATATGATGTAACTAGCGAGTGCAGAGCATATAAGTCACATTAGCAGAACAAAAAACTATTAAGTAATACATGTATTTTATCATAACTTAAGTGACACTTGGTACAAAGGAACACCAAGACATTTTTCACATAACCTAAGGTGATAACTTCGAGAGAAAGAAAAATCACCATCCAAATCTAGTTATCCAACTTATTATCATCGAGTTACCAACTAAAACATTTATCTCAGTCGGAGCATCAATATATTGTACAACACAAAAATTAGTTGCATGTTTCAGTCTAGAATATGAACGATTACGAAATCGTTATAGTGTATTGATTAGAAAAACTGAAATGTGACTATCAGTGTAATGTAGAGTGAATGTTTCATTCTATCTGGAACTCTCCAACTGGATACGCCTTCATTTCAGAGTTGTACTGATTAAACTATGAGGTTGGCAGATTTCTTACCACATTTAATAAATAAGCAAATGTTACAACAATTTTTTACAGAGGTGAAATAACCAAAAACCTATCGTTTAGTCAGTTAGTCATAAGCAACTGTAGAAACTGGCCACCAAGTACATGTATAAATTCAAGTTGCTGCAGCATATCAAAACAAATTAGCACGATGATATAAAACTATCTAGAAAATTACTAAAATAGTAGAAGTAGTAACAGGTACTAGCAGCAGCAGAAAATATTGCATCCATGTTACTCGTTAATGTAAAAATCTTTTTTATTTCTTATGAAAAATTCACCTAATTATATATATATATATATATTTGTATGATACATATGAAGAATAAGAGGAACCTGTTGAAATATTTTATACTGTGCTTTGCAGCTTAATACTTACTCTATGACGAGACATAACGTGAAAACTTTGAACAATTGTTTCCGTTGGAATATTGGAAGGGCACAGTTCACATGGAACTTCTAACATTGGCAAAACACGAGGTAAACTACGCGGTTGACTTCCCACGCATCGCCTAATTTGACCACTAGGTCCCACCTGAACACGAATAGTATTATCTCCATTGTTAGTAAGTGAAGACTGTTGTTGTAATAAATTATCAGATGCTAAACCAACAGAAACTGGTATGACAGGTTTTGGTTGAATAGGAATTTTCGATTGGTTGGAAGAGAGGAAAGATAAAAGAGTTGGATTTGATGACGATACAATAGACCATGATGATGTTGCAGCCGGGATTTGTGTATTTCCATGCATAAAAAGGTTAGACTGTTTACTGATTGTAACACAAACAGGAGGCATTGGTTCAAAAGGCAAAGTATGTTTCACTGAAACAGATGGAGTTGTAGTAGGTTGACTAACTAAAACAGATGGTAATATGGAGCCTGTCACAGATTTCGATACCAAATCAGAAACGGAAGTAATGGGAGAGGAATTAGGTAAAATACACACTGATGATATATTAGTTAGATTTACACTAGACGATGATGAAGCAAAACATGGCTGAATCGGTAAGGACGATGAAACTAATACAGTTGATAGGGAAATAGGTATAGCACTTTTAGAATTGCATGTCCTTATTTGTGCGGGAGTTGAATTGTAAAAAGAAACAGTTCTATAAAAAAGATATACACAAAACCAACATTTTAATGGTTGAATGAAAGAACCAATATATCTTTTGCTATATTCCATCGAGTAAAGAAATTGTATTTCTGATGTTTTGCGACTTAAGATAAACCACTTCATCAGAGTAAATAATTGACCGAATCAAATTACCACGAGTTTAAATAGTAAAAAGGAAACAACGTAGAATATTTCTAGTACAATCAAAATCATAATGGGTCTGAATATGCCAATGTCAAATTATTCTTGGTCAAGGTGAATTTATATGACCTGTCACTGTATTAATTTGTGTATCAGAAGGTGGATATGAAAAATGTATGCATTTGTGACATGAAACAGCACGGTTGAAATTGAGTATATTGTGTATGTAGATTGTGTGGAAAGTAAATAAAGTCATATATGATTGTTTGGATAAACAATTCAGAAGAGCAACTAATATCATTAATTCAGAATACATGCTTAATGAAAAAATGATACAATAAGCATCCTATGATTTGATAATTTCCCTAAGAATATTATAAAAACATTAAAACAAAATTATCCTTATATAAATAATAATTCTAATGAAAGATCTTGGGTTGGTACTGTGGTTTTACTTTGCCATGTAGGTACGACAGAAGATTTACAACGGATCTTGGAAACTTACAAAACCAAAGCCTTCTATAAGACGACCAACACTAAGAAACGCTTTAGTCAGAATAAAAGATAAAATCCCATCTACTTCTATACACATAGTCTACACACACAACATGCTCAGTTTCAACCGTGCTGTTTCATGTCACAAATGCATACATTTTTCATATCCACCTTCTGATACACAAATTAATACAGTGACAGGTCATATAAATTCACCTTGACCAAGAATAATTTGACATTGGCATATTCAGACCCATTATGATTTTGATTGTACTAGAAATATTCTACGTTGTTTCCTTTTTACTATTTAAACTCGTGTTAGTTTGATTCGGCCAATTATTTACTCTGATGAAGTGGTTTATCTTAAGTCGCAAAACATCAGAAATACAATTTTTTACTCGATGGAATCTAAGAAAAAAATAAATTGGTTGTATGGAATGTTTAAAAAAGATAAAATGAATGAATGCTATGTTAAGCGTCACCCGAAATAAACCATTCTCTGTTCTTTCGCCTTCTTTTCTCTTATTTTAGATCGTTATAATTACCATGTAACGATAGAACGATCGCTATTAGTCACATTATTTACTCTAATAAATGATATTCCAGTTCACATACTGAGAAAATACTGGTTCTCAACTGCTGCTTCACATCCTTTCGACAAATGTTCTTTCAACAACAAAAAAATAGAAACCACGCCTTTCAGACAATTCATTCATGTATATCTGTCCTTTACATGTCACATTTCATTTTACATCAACCTGACCATAACCGTAAACAAGCACGACTTTTGTAATTATTTCCAAAATATTCTTTATTAAACAATCTTGGGTCACAAATCATTTCTACAAAACAATATAAGCATATGTATTAATTGTAAGCCACTTCTACTACTATAGTAGTAATGACGAATTTATGAGTTTAGAGATGAGAATGAGGCTACCAGCTCTAACATATCTTAACAACTATAAAGATTATATAAGCACTCTGAAGGTAAAACAAGAATGGAAACCTTCTTATTACAGAATTAATACTTTTACTAGAAACGACTGTACAAAGGTTTTCTCATAATATGTTAATAATGAAGTCTACAATACCAATTAAATTTAATGACGTAACATGAATATTAATTATCTTAGTTTGTGTTCGTTAACAATCTTATCAAACGATTTACCTCTCTTAACTAGGACTTTATACGCGAGTTAAAAACTATTTAGAGATTTTATCAAACGTGAACAACAACTTAAAAACATTATTCGTAATATGAATATCGAGTGCTCATATTTCTTAGCTTCAACAACTATGACACCCCTCATAGTTGTGTAATATTATGTAATTATGATGATCTCAAAGTCGTTTTAAACCATTCACTTCAAAAATACAAACGCAACAGATATTTTCATATCTTCAATTCATAATCTAACATTAATTAGATTACAGGATCTTGTAACAGGAGAAACAAAGAGGAAATTATGGCGATAAATGATAATGACGAGTATGGATTTGAGTTACTAAATGTTGCTGGCGAATGAAGCGAGAAACATTGAATAAAATCGAGAACTCCATGTAGATATTTACACGAATTCTCCCAAATTAGGGAATATCAATACTGCAAAAAAACTAGACGATAAGACTCAGCATAGAAGCTTGGAAATAATATTTATGCAATTTCATCTATGTTACTCATGAGTAGCCCTTATTTCTCTGTAGATTTTCTACTACTAACCAGCCATTTTCTCAATTTAATGTAACATAGCAACCAAACGCAAGTCCATGTACTTGACTTCGAGCTACAAACTTCGTGTTTTATTTTTTAGATTGATTTTTATACTTTCGCCAATGCTGATCAAACCATTTTTCCTATCCGTACAGAGCATCACAGTATTCATTTACCTCTTTGTCTTACCAACACAATAATGTATATTGGTCTATCCTCTGGTTTTATTTTAAATAAGAGAATACGGCAGCTTCTTATGGTTATTAAAAACCCAAAAACACAACTACATATACAAATATGATTCAACAGTCCCCTTTAGACACCTTTACCAATATTATTGTTACATCGACTCTATTGCAAAAATTAAACATATTACAGGAATGTCATCCCATTCGTGTCTACCTTCTATTCTATCGTACAACCCCTCTCCTCCAATATTTCCTCACAATCTCATTCCTTTATTTGTGTGGTAGAACTTACACCTTTTAGTGCCCAGTTGTACCAAAATGTGCTAAACAAAATAAAATAAATTGCTATTTCTTAGTTATTATGACTATTTTTATTTACTTTAATGTAAATATATAATTAACACTGAACTCAAACTTGGATGCCTTTATTTGGATGAAAATATAGTACATGACATTTTTGAATAACAGGAAACTTCCGATTGATTGACGAGAGTAGTAACCAGTCAAATGTAAATATTTCAACATTCTAGGAAGTCATTTGTGATCGAAATAGCTTAGTGATAAAAACTAACTTCATAGCTGGGTGACGCGGATTTGAAGCGTACAGAGTTAATTCCTTCAAATTGCAGGTACGGATTATTGAGAAGTGCCAACTAGCACGAGGCCTGAATTCAGGGCTTCCTGGTGACTAGTTTCGGGAAAACTTCTATTTTAATGCGTAAGGGAATGAGTGAAGAAAAACTAAGGAAAATCATTAATTACTCTCGGTACGTACTAAGTTAAACAATTATTTAGCGAACTAAATTCGTATATTTTCCCACAAAAAAACACGACAAAATTGTATATTTTCACAGTTCTAATCACGAACTGATTTAAGACCATCATTGAAAACTTGGAAGCACTGGACGACCGTCCCATCCTAGTAGCGGCTTCATAGCAGTGAGCATCCACAACTCAGAACCCGTAAATCGAACCCAGGACCTTCAGTCTCACGCGAACGCCTAACCTCACTGATGTAAGGTCGTATGTTTACATTGCCGAGGAGTCCCATACTAAAACGAAACGGTTAGCCAGTGCTTCCAGGTTTTTAATGGCGAACTGTAATCAGTTCGTGATTTAAACTGAGATTATGCAATTTATAAAATATCCCTATATTAACAGACGGTATCGTGTCTAAATTGTCACTAACCTATAATATATGAGAATCATCGAATTCTATTAAATCAAAGCATAAAAATGTAATAAATAGTTTTAAAATGTACTAAACAAAAAACTTACGAAGGAGTCGATGCTTCTGAGAATACAGATTTTAAGCTGTTATTGTGTTCTAAAATTCTCATTTTTGATTGAATCAGTGGTTTACCTTGATTTGGATCAACAAGTTCACCATAAATGGCTGATATTGCTGCACAACATCTTAAAGTATAAGACTGAACACTCCAACCACCAAATTGATTTATTCGAGCCATTAACATACGTTGAATTAATGCATAGAGAAAATGAGCAACATGAAAAGGTAAACCAAATCGAGCATACATAGTAGGATAAAGCATAAGACAGGCTAGTGCGTGAGCGTCACATCCTGACCATGGAGCACTATTATGTATTGACGAATTACTTTTACATGATACATGTATTGAAACATCAGAGTGCAAGTGATGAGAAGAATGTCTAATTAAATTAGTCTGTGTAGGGAAGCCACATATAGAACATAAGATAACTGTTGGTTTTTCTATACGACCAGGGGTTAATTGTGGATGCACGCTGCAATTATAATTATTTGTTAAATAAATAAAAGAAAACAATGATTTCAATACTTACAATTATTCTCTTTTATATTGTACCAAGTTCATTGCATTCATTCAACTACTATATTCTATGTACACTTTAAGCTATACATCAAATAATTGCATTGTAGATGCTTTCAGGTTTAATTGAGAAAACATTTAAAGTATTAATCTACCAACTTCTAGTTTCGATTTCCAGATAGTTTTAACTTCACTGACGTGAACTTGCTAATTGTTGAACATTGCTTTCACCATTAAATGCAAGTGTATCATAAGTGTTTAGTGGGTTGTCGGTTCACTTTTCCTCGTGTTCTCCAGATTTCTCTACATACACAGCTCTGTATATTCCTCCAGCTCACAAACTACCTGCAGGTCAGACGTAAATCTACCAAAGGCGTTGAAAGTTACACATCGACAACCTGGTTATAGATAAAATTACACCATTTGAAATCAATATCCATCAAGATTAAACAATTGGGCAAATAACCTTTCCAATTGTATAGACTTTCTATAATCTACCATCGTCAATATCTTGGAGTAAAGCTACTTAACAATCAAATATATATACCGATAAGTAGAAATAGAAAGATTGGAATGAAAGCAGACAGATATACTGAATTAAAGAAGCAAGAACTAGGTACATTATTCATTTACGAGTGGTCCAATAGAAACCTGGCCTGACTGCGTCAGCAAAACTATATAACTTAAGGAGCACGTTAGTTCTAGTGGGTAGGTGTCTGACGAAATCTCGGCACTTGTGGCGTAAGCGGGACTTCCTTACCCCAACTAAAAAGGAGTTGTACTGAGCAGTCCGCTCTGCAGTACTCTATGGCTTGGAAACATGGTTTGTGAAAATAAAAGACCTGAGTAGACTTTAAGTGTTCAGTAACAGATGTATTTGAAGCATTGCTTGCGTATGATAAAACAACCGAGTAATGTTGTGTTTATGCATAGGGTGCTAGGGAAATACGGAAATCCGGTTGATAAGGTAGAGTCTTTACCAACGGAAAATGTGTTATATAACACTAACCACTGACAACATAGACGGGAGGTGTTATCTGATGTACGAGTGAGTTGGAAGCTAGGGACGGCCGAACCAAAACCTGGAATCAGTCCACGAAGTTACTGTTGGTCTGAGCCACGTTCGTATCTACAGAATACTTAGTTGAAGTCCACACGATAATCAGGATTAGTAGCTGGAGAATTTGGGTAACAACTCAGGATTGGTTACAAAAACCCAGATGTTGTTTTGACTTGTTTACCACTTATCTTGTTAACTTCATCTCATTGTACTAATATGGTATGGGAACTTAGATTAACGAGTAACTATGCTGAGATCGATGTTGATTATAACTGACTAGTGCCACAATTTTAGAATACCAGATAAGGTGGCATGGACATATCCTACGAATTTCCTTCCGGTAGCTTCTATACCTGGGATTGAGTACAAAATGATGAGAGACCGTCAAGGCCTAGTGGGATGAAAGGTAACCATGTAGGACACTTTGATCCGTCACCACTTCTAGAGTAGGGTAGTGAATATTACACAACTCCGTGAATTGAAGTGCTATCAGACATAGTTTAAAATAAAAGCAATCCTGATCCTGTTGAGGTTACTCATCGGATAATCGAAAGATTTGAAACGCATATCTTAAAATAACGAAATATATTTTGGTTGTTTCGCTTGACTGTACTCTATTGATGGACATGACTCTTACTCTGTATTCTACTTCTTCGGTGTTGTCAATTCACACTACGTGGTGAACTGAGTTGGGGTTCTTCTGTATCGAAACCTTAGGGTTAAGAACAAAATTATGAAACGTACATGTAACTCATATTACAATGAAACTATAGTGAGACCACAGACTCACCACTGAATAATAAGTAAATATTAATTGTATATATTAACAGTTAACTTTGTCCCGAAATTCTAATTTCTTAAAGGCTATTTTAACTACTTATCAATTTGAGACCCCCGAGGCTAGTTACACTGCAATAACGTGAAGTAAAATAACTTCTAAATAGATTAAAATACTGAGTAATAAATAATGGTTGGTAAAAACGGTTAGTGTTTCATACTACTCAAAACCAGCCAGTTGAATACACTTGTATTCGAACAAAAAATTGGTATTCATGACGACATTTAAACTAAATTAAACAGGTAAGCATCTTATACTAAGTATAATCTACTTCATTTTTAACATATGTGATACTACTTGATTTGTGTTAGCAGAATATACATCGAAGTAAAACATGTTCCATTAAAAATTGTTTTGGGGCACGGTGCTTGGCCTATTCTCAGCCAATTAGCGACAGGGTGTAAAATTATAAACATGATAACGTGTTTCTTACTGGAATTCACTCCAATTCAAGTTGATTTATTTGGAATATAATTACGTACTTGTCCAAACCGTGTTCTGATTTTGGAGACCAGTCAAGTGAGGCGAAGTGTCCACAGAATACTAAGCACTAAGAGTAGCTAACTTGTATACAGAGATCTTAACAATTCATCTACGTTATATAATATAAAGGTGTCTCTGTTCAAAAACGCCTATATCCTATGGAGGTAAAAGGGGGACATTTTTAGGTGTATCAAAGTAACACAATAATCTAAAAGTGAGTTAATTCTATATGAATAAATATCCAGTTTATTATCATTGATACTACCACTATATGGTAGAAATGATGCAACGAAGCAACTGTAAAATAAAAAAAACATTGTACTAACCGTTGGAAATGATTTTCTAGTAAGCGTTGAGACTTATTCACTAGTCCACAGACAAAACATGTATATGGTGATATATTTGAAGAGGAATCGAAGATATTTACAGTGAGTGGGATATAAAATCGGCTTATCAGTTTATTGCCCAATAATTCTGCTGCATTAAGCATGCATTCATTACAATCTACTTTTTCAAGCCGTGTTTTTTTAGGTATCACTAGTGAATTAACATTAACTAGTTTCTGGTGACCTCGTTCTAGATGTCGTAATAATTCTAAAGCAGATGTAGGAACATAGGGACAACGACAATGATGACAATAATTCCATATGTCTTCCCAACGTGGATGACGCGCTTTTGGTTTCCATTCTAAATGAGAAATGTTGATAGTTTCTATACTGATTTTATCTGTAGATAATCGAGTTGGTTCCTCATCAACACGTCTGCGTTTACGTCGATTACTCAATAACTGGTGGGGAGTTACTTCTTTACCAACCGCTGGCTCATACTGTGAGCGCACAAGTGCTGAACCTGAAAATGAGCAACAAATAATTAGGCAGGCAAAAAACATTAAAATTGGGAGTAGTTTCGGTCAATATTAAATATTGACTGCTTTAAGAATGAATATCGCAATACACTGATGCTCAGTGAGTAAATTTTATGACCGATTTCAAATGACTTTATACTGAATGACTTTGATCTTTCCTAAAACTACAAATCTATCCTTCTACCAAATATTTATAAGTCAAGAACAATATACGTTATTTCAAAGTTTTACCGTGCAATGAAGAGTACATTCTAATGCTAAGTTTAGAATTCGGATAAGTCACAATTTCAAATATGTCATGGTAACTATGCATAATTACAAACAAGACGGGTCTGGTTTCTAAATTACTTGGGCTAATATAATGACCGAAATTACACTATTATCGAATGATTCAAAAATACACAAAAATCAATCTTAGTATGGTTCCTCAATACAGTAATTCCAAAAACCCGGTGACGGAATTATCCTCAAAGCTTTTTGGTTTAACCAAACATCAGGACTGAAAGAATGAAACTCGATAATTCTTTGCATATTTGTAGACCAGATGTGAGGTATGATGATATTATATGGTAATGACGAGGTGGTTTGATGATTAAATGCTTGAATTCGCCTACTAGTTTCAAAGTATGAACACAGCTCTCATTAATTGGGTTTAGGCAACCACGTAGTAATACCAGTTCTTATGCAAAATTGTGACTAAAAGCTAAATAAATGAACTTGATAAATAAGTTCAGCTAACTAACAACTTAGTTATTGAAAGCACAGATCCTGAAAATTTGAGTTGACTTTAAACTTATGACAAAGTATATAGTTTGAATTCCTACTTTTCTGGAATACATTCATAGATTTCAGACGCATAGTGAACGAACGAAAAGCATTATGAAAACAAAATATGTGTTTGAAAAAATAAAAATGAAATGAGACTATTAATTGTTAATATAATTACATCAAAATATTTTCTCAGCATCAACTACATTCTAACCACATAGAAACTTTCAGACTAACTTTTAATAGTCATTATAATTGGTAAGATTATGTTTTATCCTAATCATAAAAATCACTAATAACGAAATACACATTAAGAAACACAGTGATGCATACCATTTGGTTTTCGACATAGGTATCGTCTATGTGAAAAAGAGTGGGTAGTTTCAACTCACTCATAATTACTAGATACTTTGGTTTTATCTACTACATGACCAGTATCGACAAAATGGGATGGAACGACAAGTGCTGGTTAACTCGTTGGTTAAGTTATCTGGTTGCAAGCTTGGTATGCCATCCATTGGTTTAGTGTCTCATATATGAAGACAAATATCCCTACATATTAAAGCCTGCTGAAGATTTATTCAGGAATAATATCGATCGTTAACTGTATTTAGGGAGAAGTGTTCAGAGAAAAGTCTGGTGATAATAGGCAACACCACGTTATTATAAAATAGAGGTCAATTATGAGAATATCCGTAATGCATCTACAAAGTGAAAAGATCTAACCTAATCAAAAAAGATACAAGTTCCTACAATTACTCGATAGCCATACACATACATATATAATGTATCATGCCTTATAAGTTTACTTGAATCTGGAGGTGATAATAAGCAGGGAATAAATTTGAATTCAAAGCTGATGATCAAGGGCCAACTACTACTGAGACTACTAATTTATGATTGTACAGCGCTTAATATAAATGAAGAGGGAATGGAACAAAAGCAAAAAACAAGTTAAATAAAAAAAGTTAAAATGGTTGTCGTCAGAGTAGGTCTCAACATCTACCAGGTTTGAAGTAATCAAATTTTTAAAATAAGTAAAATCTAGTGACTTTATTGTTACAGAATATTCAGAAAAATTAATCCATAACTACAAAACTAATGGACCTGAGGTTCAGTGGTCTAAGTACACTAATTCCACTTATTATATTACAATCTCAACCCCAATCCCAATTCGATTGGTGTATTTAGCCCTTTCAATAGACATGGCTGAATTTTTATTATCTGAATATGTATCTAAATATCAAGTTGTATTGATTAAATTCTGATATTAAATACATTCAAAATGTTACATGGTGCTACAAATCAACTCCATGGAACCTTCTCAAGATCCAACTTACCTATACGAAGTAGAAACTTAACCACTGGACGTAGACTCCCTTTCTTATTAACATTAAAGCCAGAACTAGATGGTCCAGATGGAAGCGTATCAGAGTTAATAGGAGTTCGAGGAATTGTATGAGACGGTAAAAGAACCCGTTGGTGCGTAACTCTCAAATAACTACGAGGTACGACGTTATTAGCATATATTGAACGATAGTTTCTAAGAGGGTTGAAATCCTGACTACTTGATTCAATATCACAATAGTGAACAACATCTTCACTAGACTCATTTTGTTTTACCACTTCGGGAGTGATAATCACTGTGTGATCCTGATTTGATTTTGGCGCAATCGCTCTAAATGAAGACAATGATGACGATGAAGACGACGGTGCGCTTGTTAATGGAGTCTTTGAAAAAAAAGATAGTACAAGATGTCACTTAAGACAGAAAACATGTTTTATGCTAGCACAAATTCATGAAAGTGATATTAAAACTCTAAATCCATTCTGATAGTTAGAATTTACTGTTTCGAACCACGTGATATTTACGGAAACATTAAAATATGGAAATCCAATTTAATGGTGGAGAAATGTACAGACAACGTCTGCAATACGTCCATTCTTCCTAGACTTATGAATCTAACTTTGGCATAATCAAATTCAAATTATATCAACAGTATAGGGATTGATTATATTGTTAGGATAACATCAAATTGATAACTATCCAGATGCTAAAACATTCGGAAGAATTATCAAGGATAGCGAACTAATTAAATAACGCGAAAGTACTACTGAATAAAACGTCTTGTACCAACCTATCGCATTTGGTCGGGCTTCCTAATCAAAAAGGTCGACTTGCAACTAGCCACCAGAAATCATTAGCTTTTGTGATTTATAGAAAAGCCTAAAAAAAGAACTAATTATTGGGTGCTTGAAATTCTCAACAACAGATGTTCCAAAGAATGTAGTGAACACAATGGACGTATGAATCTTAAATTAACACGGCTTGATTCTACCACAAACCAAATGAGACTAAGTCCAGTTATAAATAAATAACTTGAAAATCACTCACTTAAAAAATTATAACACATCGATGTAGATTGTATTGAACTAATGACAAAATCCATAAACCGATAATGTTTCTGAGTTACTTGATGTTGATAAGCCAAAAATCCACACACGAAGAGCCAACCAATTTAATCTGATAGACTTAAAAAGTTAACGATAACTAATATCTAGGACATGAGGAGTTGGTATCACAAGCACTTTACAATAAGACTACGATATTCAAGTATCTATCGGTATGCAAGCACAAGTATTGGTAGATTTTCATGACACATTGAAAAGGATGAGACGTGCACCCTAGATTTCAACTGACCACAAGTTTTAAAGAGTTACATTAAATGCAAGTTACTTAAATTTTAGTTAGCTTTAAAAAAACTATGAACATTTAAACCATATATAGTGTAAAATTAAATTGTAAATTGAATTACCGAATCAACTCCTGAAGTAGACTTCTTGTGATTAATAACAGATAGAGTCGAATGTGTTTTCGGAAGTATGGGTCGTCTCGAATTGTTTGAGGTCATACTACAGTGAAATAATAAATAAATAGAGATAGAGGACCGTTACATGTGGGTTTCAGATTTAATGACTATCTGGGATCACATATGTCAATTCATTGAGGGTAGATATGAAAGAGAGAATACATACCTAAGTGACCCTAATGCCCTATATAAAAACAAAACAACTTATTCCCTTAGAACAAGATAACAATACATAACAAAAATAAATTGAAGATCCTACTGAGATAGTTCGGACTTCTTTGTCACTAAAAAGGAGGCATTTTAAGATTTCCAACTTTTTTATAACTTTACTCCTAACATACGCTTTACATAAGTTCGAAAGTCAGTTATTACTTGTACGTGAACGAAAGACAGTAGATTTAAAGAAAAATGCAATGAAGTTAACTTCAAATTACCTTACGCTCAGAAGATTCGGCTACTTACATAAGAGTTAAACAATTCGGACGCATATGGCTTATCGTGGCATACTCACAATAGTTAAGAGAATATTACTGGAGATTTCTTAGACATAAATATAATAAATGCAATGACCAAAGTATAATTTAAAGCACCGGTGTGTAGTTTACGAAAATATTTTAGGAGTGCTACCACTTAAGCCGAATGTACGGACAAAAAGTCAGAAAACAAGCTGACGGAAACTTTACAGATGATTAAAAATTCTTTATGAATGTGATCAGAAATTAGATTTAGAGAAATGAGGCTTCGATATTGCATGCATGACCGCGTACTACGTTACAAATCACACCTCCACAATTTTATGTTATTTTCCTTCCCTACAAACGTTAAAAAGCAATATTTGGACTACAAGAAATCGTATACTTTAACTGTAGTTATTAATCAGCTCGCAGAATCCTTTAAATAAATGAACGCGTAAATAATGTTGTTTTGTGTTTAATCATCGACACCATGCAGTCAAAGTTATAATACACACTGTTTGAAACTGCTGTGACGAGATTTTGCTGAGTTCGTTTTCTTCTACACAACTTACTGCATGTATACATTTTTAAAGAGATACATTATGCTTAGGGTAAATACCTTACTACCTTAAAGTGCCAAGTTTGCTTTATGCCAATTAAACCTGAATTATTTATAATAATTTTGCATACATTTAATATTCCATAAAAGGAAAAAGGACCTAGCCGATACATCTAGACGCAAAAATAAGTAGACTGTGAAGAACTATGTTGAGAATCACAAATATAATCGTGTATCTATAAACGAAGATTGTTAATTATCATTGCTAACTTTAATGAAAATTTAATATTGTTGTTAACTAAAGGAACAGAAGATCCAAAAAACTTATTGCCACGGCTAATGCGTAAGTAGTCATTTATATGACCCATAACAAATAAATATAAGCCCTACACATACTCAAAAGTCATGAAAACCCGAAGCAAGAAGAGTATGTCAAAACAAAAGCAAGTCAACATTAGAAATTAGCGAGAGCCTCATAGTACGCGCCTGCAAAGAAGAAACTACCTTGACAAGAAAGCGACCACACCGCATAAATTTCTATTTAGCGGGGATTTTATAAAACTACTCAAAACCCCTCATAAAGCTCCAAAACCTATGACAATACGAAAATAAGACTGACGAAAACAGACATTTATTAAATTGTTTAAATGAGGTCTTAAAATTTGTCGCCCAAATTTCAACATGGATGCTTCCTGTGACCTCAAACTTCCGGTGCGATAATTAAAACGTATTTTAAAACTTTCATAACGAAAGATAAAGTATTGAAAGCTGATATTTCCCCCAGACTTTCACTGATGATTATAATATCCAAACCAGCATCCTGCGTATGCAATGACAGACTTTTTTATCCCATCCTTATGACTGGAGGTTTACCTTTTATTATGCCTCTGATATTCAGGATTTGAAGATGTTTTTGTCCGTAACACGCTTATAATCGAAAGATTCCAGGCCCAGTCTTACTAAAAGTCAGAAAATGAGAGTGGAGATATAACTGAGTGGCATGCGATTTGTCGATGAGTGTTTGGGTTGGGTTGAAGGTTCGTTGCATGGCTTACCCAGTTATGGTTTGGCGAGGATAGGTGACCGGGTGCCTTTACCTACGTATCCACATTAAGACTACAGAGTTAACTATCAACGTCACAGGTTTGTAGGATTTATTCGTTGAAAGGCAAGAACTCTTTGTTTTAAATAAAACGCGGTGGTATTTGTTTGGTGGTTACTTGTCAATAATCCTGAAGGAGGTCGTAGCTTCACTGTTTACGCACATGTATCCGTGTGTTATTACATATAATCACGTAGATCACCAATGTAGATGATCTATGTCAAATGACTGGAGGCATGCTCGAGTTAAACATGATTTGTGTGACGAACCAGACAACTTCGAGGTCATTGTATTTAACGTGGATTACACCTTCGACGTATCAAAGTACTGTGGATTCTTTGAAGACCGTGTAACACAAGAGACGTTATTATAGAAATATATTAGAAAGGATGAGTACAGAGATGGCGAGACCACCACCACACGGGTCAGTCCTTAGCATACGATTAACTGATATATATTGGTTGTCCTTTACCCTGACAGGGGTCGATGATCTTTTCGATACTTAGTAACTCAACTGCCGGATGATTTGGCCAAAGCTCAGTGACATTTCACTGAACCTAAACGGGTAGATTTAAATGCAACGTTTCCACGTAAACACAATGTATCGCCCAGTGTATTGACGGTCATGTCTACGTTCATGTGGTCATAGGGTTTTTCACATTACGTTGTATTATTTAAAATAGAACTAGATTGTGCTGTAAATCTTGCTCTGGTTGTAATTTCTATTCGTCACGTTTGACCGCGTTACGCCGGACGTGCATTGCATGCTGGAATGATATCCCAAATCACTAAAAGTTTAATCACATCGTTGATTTTTTTTCAAGTAGACCGTTAGTTAATAACGTTACTGAAGAAGGTTTTGTAGTGCTGTAAACAATGTTGATATGGGCAAGTCACTATTGTCTTCAGCCTCAAAACAATTTTTTGTCTTCTGTTAGGTACGTTTTAAAGGCCTATAGTTCGTATTTTGCGTTTATAGAGTTAGTTATCTACATGTAACTACTTTGAGTAACATGTCTGTGCAAATGAAACAATAATTATGACGTCTGCTTACTTTAGTACTCTTGGTTATCGTATAATTAAGTCTAGTCGATATAGTTATATCAGAATTATGTACAGTGCTTGAAGCATGTAATGAAGCAGATCAGTTTAGTAAGTAGAGCTGCCTGCTTCTAATGAGCGTACCGATTCAAATCAATCTGCTTGCAAATAGTAAAAGAAGTGCCTTTAATGCTATTGCTGTCATGTATTATAAGATAGCGATAAGTATGTTAGGTGTTTATTTGTAGACTATATGTCTAGCTCTGACTACACTTCAAGATCACTGTCATTAAACAATTTTCCCAGCGTTAATATCGGGAGCTGGATAGCTACTGCAAAATGGCAGTATACAGTTCTGGAAGAAGAGTGTTTTGAGTCTTAAGTGAATGCAGCTGGCTATAGACAAACACCAAAAATCATTTTGGCAACTGGGTCTCATAATACTTTCGAAAACATTACTGGTATCCACAACAACTGGGCCTCCAGAGTTAGCTTGACTCGTTGATGGAGTAGTATTATCCACAATACTGAAGAATATAACCAACTGGATAATGTTTCCTTTCATTGCGCCCGATAACATCATGGATGACAGTCAGGAAGGAACATGCAGATACTTGGAGTCCCATGCAGCAGCAACACTTATTTAACTCCGGTTTTCGATATCTAAAAAATAATACTCAAAACAAAACAGATTAACTTTTTGTAAGCAATGATGAATAGTGGCTAGTAGTGGAATCCAGAACGCGCGTTTCGTCCTATTTGGGACTCGTCAGCTGGATGTACCTGCATCACAGAGTTGACGTTCACTCTGGGACTCGAACCCAATACCATTCGCTTCAAACGCCATCACGTTATCAACTCGGCTGCTGAGTCCTGATAGCCACTTGTTTGTGCGATAGGGTGAATTTAAATTCATTTGGTATCGTTTGGCTTGTATCTTCCCACTGAGGTTTAATGTTGCAATTGAATAGTCTGTTATTAGCCTGTATGCATACTGTGCGTATGCCTTGATATTGCCTTAATTCACAAGCTTTTTCTAAGCAATGATGGATAGTGGCTAGCACAAGCAGATGGCTATCAGAACTCTGTAGCCGAGTGGGTAACGTGATGGCATTTGAAGCGAATGGTATTGAGTTCGAGTCCCAGAGTGAACATCAACTCTGTGATGCAGGCACATCCAACTGACGAGTCCCAAATAGGACGAAACGCGCGTTCTGAATTCCACTACTAGCCACTATTCACCATTGCTTACAAAAAGCGTGGAAATTAAGGCAATATCGAGGCATACGCACAGTATGCATATATGCCAATAACGGACTGATCAATTGCAGTCTTGAACCTCAATGGAAAGATGC